TTCCTCATATGTAAATGTATTGTTCTGTTTTTAAATCTTAAATTAAGAAAACAAAAGAAAATAATAAATTTGGTAAATAGGTTCCTACCTGAGGTATATATGTATATCTAAAACCATGTGATACCCCAGTCTATATCGTATTACACAGGCTGTAGTATTGTCAATATTCCAACTATCGTAAAACATCACAAAGGACATGTGACAAAGGTCCTACTACCTCCTTCTACATACAACCGGTATGTACTTAGTTTTTATATTTATCAGTCTACGTTAGACTGGCTGTACTTATACAGGGCCATATATTACGGTTTGCATAGTGTTATTATCTGTTAGACTGTTTGATGGTGTAATATATATACAATTTGTGGGAGGATCATATTTTGTGTTTTATTAAACACTCCAACATTACAGTGTTCCCAGAGAAACCAGCAAACTGGAGGGGGACTCGAGGTAGGTTCAACATATTCTAACTGTTATGTAAATAACCAGAAAAGACAATAAAAACTCTGCTTTGATCTTCCCTCCTGACACTTGGAAATCATCCATCTATGTAAGTTATAAAATCGATAATGAAGGATGTCTTTTAACTGGCAATGTAATTTATCCGACAAGTTGAAACAAAATCATGATGATTTAGTACGCTTTATTGATCTAAACATGGTTCAATAAACTTTAAAAATACCAAAAATACAAAATCAAGTACTTAGATCTTAATAATTAATATACTAATGGTATATTCTCATGACAGGTAAGTGACACCGCGTATAGAATACCACTTATCAGTACGACTTACATACATTTATTTTATAGTCCATCAACAGTGTATGTTTTATTTCACATTACAAATCTTAATACAAATAGATAAAGGGGATTGGAAAACAAGCTAACAGCTTATAATAATTCCTTAAGGAATTTCTACATGGATTAAAAGAAAAAAATCTTTTAAAAGCTTTGCAGGAGGGGTAAAACATATACACTATAAACAGTTTGTCTGCCATTAGGACCACATCGGTTAGTAAAGGTGTATCCCCCACGGCGGCTTTATAACCAACCATACAGTAAAGGACACAGGAGACAACGGGTGGAGGAAAGGTGTTTTCTTACTGTAATCTTAAAATCTGTTCTGAATCACACACATATATATATATATATATCGTCAGTTTGTCATTAGGTCGACGTGTTAACGCTATTGTTGGTTTAGTAGTGTGAAAAGTCAGAAAAATATACTATACCCCAACCCTGAGATAATGGTGATACAGCATACCATATCATATTGTGCAGAGTACGTAATCTGACGTCGTCACTAGATCCAAAACGGATTTCAAAGCGTATTGAAAGCCGTATTTTTTCAAAATATTCATAAAAAAATTTACACCATATGATAAAGGATCATTCCTTTAATTTGTCTCCATTTTGTTATTAACAAAGTGAAAGAAAATCATCTGAAATGTGCAACATTTCTAGGTTATATCATGCTTATCTTGTATAACATATCGTTGTGCCGGAACCCTGACTAACCCCCACCCCCAAGAGGAGTGTTGGAGTGAACTGTCTGTTAAATCTATCCAAACATTGATGTTCTCTTACCCAAATCTAATCGATTTTTTGATTTCTTGTCGTATTTCATGTTGTCTGGTCTGCGTAAGGGGGAAAATGGAAATAAAGGATGATGATGATGATGATGATGTAAGGTTACTGAGGAACTTGGTAGGGTTTGATTAAGGAAGTAAATGTATCTATATCATATATATCTATGATATTAAACATATTCATTGATGTAGTCAGTATTACATATTTATACATTTTAAGGATAACTGGGTAACATTTCGATATACATCATATGGGGTATTGATATATCAATATGATATATGTTTAATGTTGAACGGCTATAAATCACACGAACCTATATCTATTGTGTTAACCCTATCACATTACAACATTATAGTACAATGTTTTTATATCCGACCTATAAAGGCGTGCTGAGTGACCGATGTATAGAGTGGTATCTAGGGACAGCAGGGCCAATGGCTTTGTTATTGACCTACCTTGGTTCTAATCCAATAATACCTGGTAATGCAGCAAGTAAGGTCAAATATATTTCTGTTTCTCTAGTTCATGACTGTCTGGCTGCCAGCATTCATTTCAATGATGACAAGCAGTTACTATTAAAAACGTGATGTATATTTTTATATTATTTCAGTTGAATTGTAGGCTTAGTAAACCCTTCCACCTGGTTTTCGCATTTATATCTATCGTTTTTTATTTTCATATGTCGCCTAATAAATTTCGTGATTTACGCCCCTCAGCATCACTGACGAGCCCTAGAAGGACGGAAAAACTGTCTGATACAGTTTGATTAATTGCATTTATTCTGATTCCCAATTTTGTGTCTTCTGTGCAATCTCTAAATACTACTTCCTATAGATCAATTTTTATAGAGATGCTGGACTCCTTTCCTGCCCAATACTTCTTCGACAGTGTTACTGTTGCTTTGCTGCCTCTAATCATAAACACAAAATAGAACTCCATTTCAAACAGACCAAGACAAGATGAAAAACATTTTAAAACGATCTGAAACAACATTCATGGTCTGATCTTAGCCTAGCTGGTACTTCTCAGTTTCTGTTTCTCGACACCTTGACGTTGGGAGCTTGGGTCTTGCACACACACACACACACACACACACACGCGCGCGCGCACGCACGCACACACACATATATATCTATATTCTAAATGTAGAAAATATTTTACTTCATCGTACCACATGGTTGACCATAGAATTAAAAGGATAGTTGGTAGTCATCAGTATGACTTCTCTATAAAAGATCACACATCAGTCAAATTACTGGAAAATGCTAACATAAAAGCGCGGAAGAAATAAAATTCACAAATGTATAGTAATGAACACGGATGGCATGAAATACGAATCTAGTGATATGTTTTTAATCTTAAGTGCCAGAAACAAAACCTAACGGGCCAAGATGACACTATGGCAGGGTAAAGGATCGTCTTGTTTTATCGACTCAACAAATATTTGAATAAGTGCTGCTAATGTTTTACTTTAAATATACAAAGAAGGCGGTAATTACCGTGTTTTGACGTGTTTGGAGAATCATTTCAATCAAAATCTGTTATAAACTGAAGTAATTATCAACGGAAGACACCAAACAACGTTTATGTAATGTTTAAAAAGTCCCTGATAATTATCTACCAAAGGTCAGGTCTGAAAGGTGTGGGCGGTTCAGTGTCAAAGGTCAAATTGAAGTAATGATTGAACAACATAATGTATTTCTTTGTGACAGTATTATTTAAATCACGTAACATTGTAGCATTCCGTGTGTTTTCTCTGGCTTTCTTTGTTACCCCCATTTTATACTACAATTTACCGATTTTCCAATCACGGCTTGCACCAGACCACCCTGTACCATGATATGTCTATAGAAGAAGATAATGTTGGACTCATGTCCTGTCTGGTTATATACATATTCCTGTAGTTGTTACCGACAATACCCTCCCAACCTCCTCGGTGATTGAGATGTCACATTGGTCAACATACCAAAACTCTGGTAATACATGGTCATATTGACAATACATGAGAATAAATTCATTGGTCCATATGCTGCTGCTTGAAGTAAACCGACATTCCTAATTTGTTTCGATTAGGTTGATGAATTGAATATGATAGATGTCGTTTGTCTGTCATTCTTTAGAGGCTAATAACAGCAAGGACTACCGTCGGGTAACAAAACATAAATGAAAATACATGGACACTGCTGAAATAGTACGGTGACACCGCTGAAACAGTATGGTGACTCCGCTGAAACAGTATGGTGACTCCGCTGAAATAGTACGGTGACACCGCTGAAACAGTATGGTAACACCGCTGAAACAGTACGGTGACCCCGTTGAAATAATACGGTAACACCGCTGAAGTAGTACAGTAACACCGCTGAAACAGTACGGTGACACCGCTTAAACAGTACGGTGACCCCGCCGAAATTGTACGGTAACACCGCTGAAACAGTACGGTAACACCGCTGAAATAATACGGTAACACCGCTGAAATAGTACGGTGACACCGCTGAAACAGTACGGTGACCCGGCTGAAAAAGTACGGTAACACCGCTGAAACAGTACGGTGACACCGCTGAAATAGTGCGGTGACACCGCTGAAATAATACGGTAACACCGCTGAAACAGTACGGTGACCCCGTTGAAATAATGCGGTAACACCGCTAAAATAATACGGTAACACCGCTGAAATAGTACGGTGACACCGCTGAAATAGCATGGTGACACCGCTGAAATAGCACAGTGATATTGTGACATGAATAATATGTCTTAAGGCGTTAGGGTTGTTAACCTTGTGAAACTAGTACATCGCTTATATTTAACGAGATCTATATTGCAGTTCCTTAAAGCTTAGCAATTCTATTAAATACTAGTTTTATAAGTTATGTAAACAATTGCCGCGAGATTAAATGTCAATGAATCATTAGTTTTTATGCAGGCTCTCCTAACCCGTGATATGTTATTACATTTTAAGTATCCTCTAATACGTTTATAGGAACTCCAAGGTTAGACAAAATATTACGGGAAAGGGTTTACGATTATTTAATGTTACAACACCCTAGCAACAATGAAACACCAAATTATAACAATACTTATCCTATTGACATAGTGAGGAACCAAATGTATATGGTGTCAGGCCCTTTGACAGGGCTGCTATACGTAATAGTATCGATTAAGGTAACATCCATCTCCCGACTCACCCGCTATGTAACAGAGACCCCTTATAAATAAATAAACAGGCGCGCGATGATTAGCGAGAACACCTTTGTTTTCGGTAAGTTTATTGTTTAGTAACGGACCCGTTGGGTAGAAGGGGAGGGTTCGGGTTGAGGTAGTAACTCATACATACAGCAATACTCGAATGTAGCCTATCGCGTTAGGCGTGCCTGTCAGCAGAGCGTGGCGCCCTAAGTCAGACAGTACCTAACATGCAGCATTCTGGTAAAGATAGTGCATTACACCACACCGGACAACCGTGTCACGTTACCGTCAATATTTCTAGGATGTCTTACAATCAGCACCACCCCAGGAATACTAGTAATCCTATCATGTACTTTGTTCCTAGTCCAAGGTAGGTTCTAATGAATATCATCGGCTTGTCGCTCCACCATTTACGGGCCTGGGGTGTGGAGAATCGTTATCATAATACCATAATATCATTGTACAGATACTAAGTGTAATCGAGATGCATCAGTATACAGCATTAATTTTCTACCGATTAACAGAAAGTGAACTCGCGTGACATCATATATGAAATATGCTTAATGAATAGAGGTAAATAATCGGAAATCTACATATATACTGTAAAAAATCTAAATAAATATGTAAGATGTTCTTCCATGCTTTACGGAAAGAAGTAGAACTACAAAAAACCTATAATATTAGTTGATATGCCTCCTGAACAGAGGTCAATAAGCTTCAATCTTCGACATGTGTTGACCAAAATAAGACCTAGGTATGGACAAAGCTGATTTTCGGGTATAAAACTGGCGACATTAGTGTTACCATAATGCCCTGTTGTTTATCACTGACATCTAATTGTTATCATCTGTCAATTTTCATTTTTGATACAGATATCCGTCTGATGGGTACGAGGCGGAATACTTGGCAAGGGATGGCGCTATGACGCCAGGTATGGACCGATATGGGGCAAGGACGCCCAACAGAGGTCGAGAGTCACCTCTAAGGCGAGCCAACTCACAGATGTACCGACCACTGTCGAGGTCAGCATCTCGGCAGGACTTCGGAACACAGGTAAGAAGCATTTGTCTCTTTTTGAAATTAACAAAACAATTAAATGCACTTTGAAATAAAGTAAGACTCCTCACTCTAATTTACGTAACACCAATCAGAATTTCCAAAATATATGCAGATAAAGAAAACCAGAACATTAAAAAATCTATTTTAGAGTCGCTCAGAATAGCAAATGGAGAAAATCTCCCTTATCTTGAATTATTTAGGGTAGAAGTGCTGGTCTATCGTGTTGTGCTCCTGTTGGAAGAATGGAACAGTTAGGCATAAAAGCTCTCGCTGTTCAATCAACTTTTGACCCGGACAGTTTTGCAGCCTGACAGTTCAAAACAATATTATACATTTGAAACCTATTCATGTCTCGCAGAAAGTCATCATAAAAGATATGTTCACAACGCATGTTATAAGTATAAGTGGATAGGAAAGTTGGCGTAGCCCATGCCCTAGAAAATAGGTCTGTGCGGACAATCATTCGCCAAAAAGGCCAAGCTTATAGTTTAAGGTTTTTATTCTGCAAATATATTAAACATCATAAACCAAAGATGAGCCCTTGCCGGGTCTTGAGAACACAAGGGTCATAACGGCTTAATTTATGACGATCTAATATTGTCATCATAAATAACTGGGTCATCCTTAATTCTTAACCAAACAAAGTTAATGACCAACCGCATTTCCTATGTGACATGATCATAAATATTACTGCAAGATGTAATAAAAATGTTGACAATTACTGCACATGAAAAGGTATGTTATAGTGAAACACGCTACCGTGAGTATCGATACCCATGTCATTTAGTCGTGGCTGAGGAGATTTGGTCTAGACTTGGTTTATGGTGGTAAATTATAGTTACTAATTATCTTATGTGTTAACTTTGTTTGTTGTTTTCCTTAAGTTATTTCATAACTAAAACGTGCCAATAAATATTGAAATGATATGTCAATTTGAAGTCTTTCACTTCCATTTGGCGCATATATCTTAGTCAAACGACATAACTACAACAACCGTATGATATAAATAAGAAAACCTAGTGACGGATGCATAAAACCCTGTGACGTATGCATAAACACCCTGTGACGTATACATAAAAACACGTGACGTATACATAAACCCATGTGACGATATATAAAACCCTGTAACCTGTACATAAAAATCCCGTGACGTATACAAAAACCTTGTGACGTATACATAAAAACCCATGACGTATACATAAACCCCTGTGACGATATATAAAACCCTGTGACCTGTACATAAAAATCCCGTGACGTATACATAAAAATCCCGTGACGTATACAAAAAACCTTGTGACGTATACATAAAAACCATGTTACGTGTAATCGTGTACCCATGTGTGTGTGTATATTGAATCAAAATGAAACGTGGAACTGTAGATTAAAAAAATATATCGGGCGTTTTGGGAATACAATTGATACTAATTAGATCTATAAATAATGAAGATAGAGGTGTCTCCATAGCGTCTCCATGGCAGCCAAGAGGGAGTGTACCTGAGGAATCAATGTTATGTACTTTTTACTGAGTGTGTATTGATATATAATGTTACTAGTATGACACACGGAGTTATTATATATCAGAAAGAAAACTGCTTAAATATTAATAACAAAGTATCCCAAGTAGTATATATTACATCCACGTACACAGGTTTTACCTACTACGTTGTAATATCGCTGTAGAAAACAATGCATTGAGATTTCTATTATGATGATTCAATTATTCCTATTTTCGTCTCTGTTTCTGTTGTCGGATTTCATTAAAGGCCTACAGAAAGGTATTGTTTTACTGTATTTACTACCTAACATATAAAGAATGCTTCCGTTTATCTAACTATCTGGCTGTAGTAATTCCGTAAGGGCCTTGGTGATTGGGGCATATCTTATTCACTTGTGAGTCAGCTTCTGACGCAAGCTTGGTAGGAAATCAGAGGAAAAACAGGTTTTTTTTTCAGTAAACGATTAATATTTCGTATCACAAGCTCTCTAATCTTTTTAGAATTGTGCGACTGCTTTATTCCTAGCATGACAGAAGACAAGACATACCTTTATGTAAACAAATAATAACTCGCACTCAATGTCGATACTATAAGTTTCCTCCACGACACCCCACCACGTAAATCTTGGTCAATTCATTATATGTCGTGTTCTCAAATGGGAACCAGGTTCAAAGATTAGTTAGAGTTAAGTAGTAGGTTATAAAAGTTTTACGGTATGAATTGAACAAAATTAGGAAAACCATTTTTCATTTCACATCTATGGAATTGGTGAGATAGGTTTGTTGCCGTAGTCTTCATCAGCCTTCATCTCTCGAATTGTGTAAGTTTAGCTGTCGTTTGTAGACATCTTGTCTCAGAAATCGTGATATCAGAACTATATACTAAAATACAAAATCCAATGCGACATCTAGTACCCAAAGTTTGGGAAGTAACTATCCTCTAGGAGTGAATACTTGATCGTCGTGGAAAACTGTCCGCTGGATGTGAATCTGGGACATTCGATAGACAGAAGGATCTGTTGTAATTAATGTAACGGGTTATATGTCACACGACCTTATAACGGGTGGAAATATTCACATCTCTGATGAAATGTTGATGAAACATATCAAACATTGGCAGACATTACAGAAATAAAGCGATATTGTAATTTATAGATCTGATTCTGGCATAGTTAAAGAATCTAGTAGAGATCGGTACATCTCGATCAATGAGCCGGACAAGAAGCGCACGATAAGGGTGGAAATGGTGAAATGGTTCAGACGTCTAGTACCATGAATGAATCAATACAACTGCCTGTTTTGGTGGTGTGGAAAACACTTCTCTGGAGTGCCTAGTTCCGTTTCTGGTTCTAACGAGGAATCTAGTTGTATTTAGGTGCTTCCATCTTTTTGATTCATATTGACTTTCAGCTTCACTTATTTCTTTCTATTCACGCTATTTTTGTTTCCTTTAAGAAACTTTTTTTTAAAATCCGTATCTTTAGAGTAGTGTTACTTCTGCTATCTTAATCCATTGATCGAGCCAGACGTCTTCTGAACAAAGTTTAAAATGTCACATTGTAGCACATGATGATTAAATGTCATACAAATACGTATTTCTAGTGATGATGATGTGCATTACGTATTGCAAATCTGTGTATTTCCGGCGATGATGATGTGCATTACGTATTACAAATCTGTGTATTTCTGATGATGATGATGATGATGATGATGTGTATTACGCATTATATATATATGACACATGTATTTGTATTACTAGTGACGAGTATGGGTATTACGTGTTATAAGAATGTGTATTAGAGGTGATGACAATTTTGCGTACGTTGTTTAAACAACAGTGATAGATGTATTTACTAATAAAACTTTGTTTTCTATACTCGGAACACCAGTATTTGGATTATTTGAAACAGGTAATTATACACTAACAGAGCGCTTTAGTGTTAGTTATCTCACAGATGGCTTTAACATTATTATTGGATATAACACAAAACATTTGTTCTTGCTTTTTTACTGGCATGGCAAGTTAGTTACTTACATCAATGGACCGTGTCATTTTGTCGTCTTATGGATGTTGTGAATTAGTGTCTTATTTCCTTACAGCGATATCATATTAATTTCTCTGAATATCGTACTTTGTGAAACACTTGGTCGTCTTTGAACAATGCATATTGTTTTATTTCCAATTACAACTGCAAATGCTATTTTACGCTGCAAGACAAGTTTTTATCTTGATCATGCACTCTTTATATTACAAATATTAACTTTAATGTATCTTATGCTAGTAATAAATTTGCGTTCCCGCCCCTCCCCTGTGTAAGTCCATATAAGCCTTGTGCAGGAGATTCTAGTGCACTAACGGTATTTCAAGTTTTACAAAATAATGTTATAAGTATGGTAAAGATGTTCACTTACCTCCACACTGCAATATCATTGTATAAATTAGAATTATAATCCCTTATAATAGCATTAGTTAGATTTATTAAACTGCTTAATCACGATACTGATATCTTAATTACATTACTGATGTCTTAATCACGATACTGATGTTAATCACAACACTGATGTCTTAATCACGTTTATGATGTCTTAATCACTATCCTTATGTCTTAATCAAGATAATAATGTGTAGTTTGTAATATACGATAATATTTTAACTGTGATACTGGTGTTTTGATATATATATTGATGTTTTAATCACGATATTAATGTCTTAATCACGATTATGATGTCTTCATCACGATTATGATGTCTTCATCACGATATTTAATAACACGATACAGTAATTGCATAATACTTGTGTGACACGTTGGTACACAGGCACGTTATGGTCTACTGATGGGAGGCCGACGGAGTAAACCAACATGTCTGGTAAATGGTTAGATCTAATTAGTTTTGGAAATAGCTAATGAGTTTATTTTTGCTAGATTTGTGAAATGGTAAATAACATGTATTTGCAAGTTACATTTTTTTGTTTGGTGTTATGACACACCTTATCACGATTTAGCCTCGGTGCTAGGCATTGTATAACACTTTTATCTAAACCTTGATAACGAGGAGTGTTAAATCAATATTATGTTAGATTCCAACACCATATCTACATAATTATCGTATCCTAGTGAACTACTCGAAAACAATTGATTATTTTAAAATCTGCATATGTGTTTATATAGTCCACATTTATGGTGAAATCTAACCATGACCAGATCGATAGACAAACCACAAATAATTAATGGTTCATGCTAATTGAAGTGAAAAATTAATAACAGGTATTTCGGTCTAGGTCACACGTTAGGCAGAATCATGTGCATATTCTACATTATACCGTTTATAGGGTATCGTTCACAATATACCGTTTACAGGGTATCACCCACAATATACCGTTTACAGGGTATCACCCACAATATACCGTTTACAGGGTATCATACACAATATACCGTTTACAGGGTATCACCCACAATATACCGTTTACAGGGTATCATACACAATATACCGTTTACAGGGTATCACCCACAATATACCGTTTACAGGGTATCACACACAATATACCGTTTACAGGGTATCATCCACAATATACCGTTTACAGGGTATCATACACAATATCCCGTTTACAGGGTATCACCCACAATATACCGTTAACAGGGTATCGTTCACAATATACCGTTTACAGGGTATCATACACAATATACCGTTTACAGGGTATCATACACAATATACCGTTTACAGGGTATCACCCACAATATACCGTTTACAGGGTATCATTCACAATATACCGTTTACAGGGTATCACCCACAATATACCGTTTACAGGGTATCATTCGCAATATACCGTTTACAGGGTATCATACACAACACACAGTTTACAGGGTATCATTCATAATATACCGTTTACAGGGTATCATACACAATATACCGTTTACAGGGTATCACCCACAATATACCGTTTACAGGGTATCATTCACAATACACAATTTACAGGGTATCACCCACAATATACCGTTTACAGGGTATCGTTCACAATATACCGTTTACAGGGTATCATTCACAATATACCGTTTACAGGGTATCACCCACAATATACCGTTTACAGGGTATCGTTCACAATATACCGTTTACAGGGTATCACCCACAATATACCGTTAATAGGGTATCATTCACAATACACAGTTTACAGGGTATCACACACAATTTACCGTTTACAGGGTATCATCCACAATATACCGTTTACAGGGTATCATACACAATATACCGTTTACAGGGTATCATTCACAATATACCGTTTACAGGGTATCACCCACAATATACCGTTAACAGGGTATCATTCACAATACACAGTTTACAGGGTATCACCCACAATATACCGTTTACAGGGTATCACCCACAATATACCGTTGATCAAAATTGACCATATAGTGCATAGTGAAAATTAACCCGTGGCAAAATTTTAAGATTAAAATGTTAATTGATTTCAATAATTGTACAGAAGTCGCTTAATTGTGATTTACATACTTTTATCATGTGATGCAAAATATTGTTCATGTTTTATGGTGTATTACCTGTATCATTTCATGTGCTAGATGGCCGGGTATGACAAAATTTGTGTGTAAAATACCAGATTCGTCTCATTGTTTTGTCTGATTGTAGTGTTTGTTTAATATACATGTTTTGCATTTTCAAGTAATATTTTTTAAGTGAAAAATAGATCAAATAGACAAAGACCGAAAAAACATCATACCTCAGCCATTCTTTTCCACGTGTAGAGATGCCTTGTTTACACATCCTTACTATTACACAACTGTCCCCAAGTGTAGAGATCTCTGGTTTACACGTCCCCACTATTACACAACTGTCTCCACGTATAGAGATCTCTGGTTTACACGTCCCCACTATTACACAACTGTCCCCACGTGTAGAGATCTCTGGTTTACACGTCCCCACTATTACACAACTGTCCCCACGTGTAGAGATCTCTGGTTTACACATCCTTACTATTACACAACTGTCCACAGTGTAGAGATCTCTGGTTTACACATCCTTACTATTACACAACTGTCCCCACGTGTAGAGATCTCTGGTTTACACGTGCTTACTATTACACAGCTGTCTCCACGTGTAGAGATCTCTGGTTTACACGTCCCCACTATTACACAACTGTCCCCACGTGTAGAGATCTCTGGTTTACACGTGCTTACTATTACACAGCTGTCTCCACGTGTAGAGATCTCTGGTTTACACATCCCCACTATTACACAACTGTCCCCACGTGTAGAGATCTCTGGTTTACACGTCCCCACTATTACACAACTGTCCCCACGTGTAGAGATCTCTGGTTTACACGTCCCCACTATTACACAACTGTCCCCACGTGTAGAGATCTCTGGTTTACACATCCTTACTATTACACAACTGTCCCCACGTGTAGAGATCTCTGGTTTACACGTCCCCACTATTACACAACTGTCCCCACGTGTAGAGATCTCTGGTTTACACGTGCTTACTATTACACAACTGTCCCCACGTGTGGAGATCTCTGGTTTACACGTCCCCACTATTACACAACTGTCCCCAAGTGTAGAGATCTCTGGTTTACACGTCCCCACTATTACACAACTGTCCCCACATGTAGAGAAACATCCTCATTAAACGGTAGTTTGAAAGTCAGTCTTATTCTTTCATTGCTGTAATGTTTTGTGATTTTTATTTTCCTTGTCAATGACTTTCAGTGCTTTTGTGTTTAAATACCTGAGCTAGTTTCTGTTGAATGATGGTTACATACTTGTGTATTGTTCTGTGTATCATTCATTCAATGGTGCCATGCTTTCCAGTTTAACTAAACATGTTGCCATGCTTACTTATGACACTTTCAGTAATATTTTAGATGATATTTAGATGGAGATAACCAAAGTGTTTCCACCAAGCAAAGCAATCAGTATCAGATATATAAATACATATCTAAGGTAAATGCAAGTCTGAGATACATGACATAACTTGTTTGAAACACCTTCAAAAACAAGGAAAGCTAAATCAAACTTGTTAACTTTTCTCTCTAGACGGACCCAAATCAGGACATGCGACACAAAGCCTACGCCTCGTATACCCCAGGACCGTGTCCTCGTCCTCCTCCAATAGAGAGGGGGGCAACGTTTGCCGGTTTTGGCGCAGAAGACATGGATCCTTTTACCAAGCAGTATTACAACAGATTATGGAATTCCCGTGTTCCGTCAACAAACGTGTGAGTATTGCTTGTAACCAGAAACAATCAAAATCTATCACATGTTTCAGTCAAAATATACACCGAGTGGTTCTGACTTACTTTCTGACTGTTATTCTTGATGAACCGCTGTTCTAGCCCTGTCTAATGCAGATTTTTCGAGTCCATTAAATATTGATTACATGTGATATTTTATAATTGACAGAAATCTTAACAGAATGGGTAGAGCGGGAGGCCGCTGGAGACATATAGAATCGTGTGTGGCTAACACAGGAAGTAATTTAGCTTTTATTGAAGGTAAGTTAATGAATGTGCAATGAAATGGGCATTGTAAAATGTATAATTACATTTACAGGCAACACAATTGTTTCAATTGTTAAAAGAAAAATAAATTTTATGTATTGATAAGAAAAACAACCCACAGTGTTGTGTACAGGTTGATTATACATCTTTCCCATATTAACTAGTTGTTACCTCTGTTAAGGGACCGTCAAGCAGGTTGACAATGTGTTAACAGATCCGATGAGAGTAAATCCCTCTAGGATGCCGAAGTATGGTCAGCCCAGGCCGTTAGGACGTGCCCCATCGCCCGGTCGCAAGTATTCCAAGGACACCGCTTACAATCAAAAAGCCAAGAATGGATTCAAATACTGGTATCAAGAACAGAAACCGATTGACCGTAAGTTTATCTCGCTTCAAAAACCACTGGACATTTTCTAGTGCACATTTGCTATCATATTTTCACAATTTCTCCATCGAGTGACAAACATTTTTTTCTCAATTTTCATATTACACCACATTCAAAATCGTTTGTATACTCTATGTGTTTCTTTTACGATAAAGTACTGTAGATTCATCTAAACATCTAAAAGGTGGACGAAAACATAATCTTCTCTCTGGAATATTGTCTAAAAGAAAAAATGTATAAAGTGTTTTCTGGATACCTTCTACAATATTTTTCATGTTGAGCTGTAATTCTGCATTATTATGTCAGTCAGAAAATATTTGCTGTCAGTAACTTTAGTCCTCCCATAACTGTAATTTAATCAATGTGTTTGATTTCCAAATAACGATTACTCAGTAAGTATAGACAGATGTTAGTCTCTGTGTCGTGTAATTCAGTCAGTAGACGTTATTCTCTGTGTCGTGTAATTCAGTCAGTGGACGTTATTCTCTGTTTGATGTAATTCAGTCAATAGACGTTATTCTCTGATGTAATTCAGTCAGTAGACGTTATACTCTGATGTAATTCAGTCAGTAGACGTTATTCTCTGTGTCGTGTAATTCAGTCAGTGGACGTTAATCTCTGTGTCGTGTAATTCAGTCAATAGACGTTATACTCTGGTCAATAGACGATATTCTCTGTTTGATGTAATTCAGTCAGTAGACGTTATACTCTGCTTGATGTAATTCAGTCAGTGGACGTTATTCTCTGATGTAATTCAGTCAGTAGACGTTATTCTCTGTGTCGTGTAATTCAGTCAGTGGACGTTATTCTCTGTTTGATGTAATTCAGTCAGTGGACGTTAATCTCTGTTTGATGTAATTCAGTCAATAGACGTTATTCTGTGTTTGATGCAATTTAATCAGTGCAGGGGTTAGTTCCTTATTTGATGTAATTCAGTCAGTGTAGATTAGTCCCTTATTTGATGTAATTCAGTCAGTGTAGATTAGTCCCTTATTTGATGTAATTCAGTCAGTGCAGATTAGTCCCTTATTTGATGTAATTCAGTCAGTGCAGATTAGTCCCTTTTTGATGTAATTCAGTCAGTGCAGATTAGTCCCTTATTTGATGTAATTCAGTCAGTGCAGATTAGTCCCTTTTTGATGTAATTCAGTCTGTAGATAATAGTCCTTGTTTGAAGTAATTCAGTAAGTGATATTTGACGTACTATAGAATTACGCCAAATCTACATGCCTGGATAACTTTGATCAGGAGAACACATATTGGAGACTGGTAATCATCTCTGCGTTCAGAGTTGAGATTCAGCCTGTACATATTCATCCCCTCATACTGTATATACATATATGATTATCATTGACAGTAAACTATTTACCTGGAATAGTAAAGGCGTGATGAAAAGTAAAGGTAATTTGAAAACAAACCTTTTATCAATACTTTATTATTTAATATAGCTTTATTTTACTCACAAGAACCTATTTATCATCCATGTATTATTCTCCAAACACAATACGCTGAACCTCTATCTTACCTATTGGAGGAACATTCTTATGTATAACGCTTTCAAATATCGGTATTATGGTTCTTCTGCTTCTATTTGACTTTTTCTCGCCTCCATTCAAGCTTTTGATTGTCCTCCAATGACTGTTCATCTCTTTATAGCCTTAACCCCAGGTATTGTTTCTTCCTCTGTGACTGACTATCTGTTTACAGCCAGACCTTAACCCCAGGTATTGTTTCTTCCTCTGTGACTGACTATCTGTTTACAGCCAGACCTTAACTCCAGGTATTGTTTCTTCCTCTGTGACTGACTATCTGTTTACAGCCAGACCTAAACCCCAGGTATCGTGTATTGTCCAATCAATGTTTACTTGTTTTCAGCCTTACCAAGGTATACTTTATGTCTCTAAGACTAAGTACATCGTTGTTTTTCTGTTCATCTGTGATTGTTTATCTGTTTTCAGCCTCGCCTAGAACCTAGGTATTGATACTACTTATATCAAACCATTTACGCACATAAAACCCATTTAATATTTTGAGTATCAATTTTCAAATCTAACATACATAAGTTTAAGTAAAGTACATAGATAGTTAAAACTTATAGGATAGTCTGTGTCATGTGTTTATCATTTGAAATACGAGTTAAGTTACTACTGAGGAGCGCGTGGTAGTGACGGGAGTTGATATATGAGACTAGAGTACTTGTGTTTGTTTTTAATAACTTTACAGACTCCAGTAGATTTGGGCTTCAGTATTGATATTGCTTTACGCCAATGGAGTCAAGGTCACAGTATTGATGCTTTACGTTAAAGTAGTCAAGGTCATAATTTTGATGTTTCTCTGTGTCAAAGGAGTCAAGATCACAATATCGATGTTTTTACGTTAAATAACTAAAAGGTCACAATATTTTTCTTTTCGTCAAATGAACCTGGGTCAGACTTTTATGTTTTTTACGTTACAGGAGTCAAGGTCACAACATTGATGTTCATTTACACAAATGGAGGCAAGGTCACAATACTGATGTTTCTATACGTTAAGGGAAATGTAATATTGACGAATCCTTACGTCGCTATTGATGTTTCTTGACATATATTGTAGCATTATATCTAGGTCATGAAATATATGTTTGCGTGTATTACAGGGGATCTAGGTCAAGATCATGATGAAACATTGTGGGACAGTTTAGTCAACGCCAAACAAATATCGGTAACTTCGTCAGTTTTATGGAGTAGGGTTTACCCGACTGTGTCGTGTAATAATTCCGTGTCCTGTTGATTATTACAGTGTTGATGTAGGCGTGTATTTCTTGTGTTATCATTACATGTTAACGGTAATCTAGATTGTGTTTAAGTATGTTGTTTATTATTTCCGTTTGCTTTGTACAGAGATTTATCTCAAATTTGTCTTTTAAACATTCTGCCATTAATACTCGCTAGTATTTCTCTGTGTATAAAAGGGTGATTGGTGTCTCTCTCTCTCTTTTCCCTGCAACTGTCATTGATTCTGTGTCATTTTCATTGTTCATTGAGTCGAACAATACATCATTTCCTAAACATTAGCAATTTTCAGCGGTCTTTCGGTCATCGAATTAAAGTAATGTGTTATCACACTTTAATCTGCACAGTAAATATAAATGCACATTTACCATCGTGTTTATGCCTATTAACTTTCAGTTGGATTGAGGAAGTCTTTCGGGGCTAGCGGGCGTTGGCTTGGTGTCCCGGGAGAGGCATTAATCCCCGCCCCAACATGGGTGTGATACTTACAACTATATTCCCCTTTTTCAGCGGTATTTTACAAATTTACTGTTCGCTTATCTTAACCCTCGCCTCACGTGTGTACGCACGGCCTGCTGGTGTGTGATGTGCTCTTAAAGTCGTTTGATTATGGACTATACTAATTAAGTATATGTATTACTATGATGTGTTTGAAAATAATTCAATTTTGAAATTTGTGTCACAGGATTTTTGTCTTATAGCATGAAAAAGAGCATAGCATGTGCCGTGTTGCTGAATGTGGGTGTGTAATATTAATGGATATTACGGAATACACAAGGATATTACTGAATACACAATATCACTGGATGTTACTGAATGATTCCGTGATGTTACAATAGATAATATACATTATACATGTATATCCAATTATGCTGTATACGTTACAAAGAGCTGTGATCGTATCTTTAGAAACAAGAAGATAATTTTGAAGTGTTATTATTTGGAGATGACGGGGGAAAAGTCCTATAAAATGAAGGCGTACCCTGAAATGCATTGTATGGATATCATAATCTTGATTTCGCATGTAAAACGTGTGTTGATTGAGTTGGATGCACAGATGTGAGTGTTTTTGTGATATTGTGCTGACTTTGACGTTGTTCTATGAATAATATCAATATCTTGAAAGATTAGAAAATATTGTGTACCTCAATATTTGTCAAAGTGTATTAAGAAGTCAAACATTAATTTACAACTATATACATATATTATGATCGATATGCCTCTCCACGACATCCTGAATATCTTTACTGCAATCACACTTCAGCTTTGAAATATGGGCCTACTGCCGTTTTGATAATACTTTGAATGAAATAAACTAAGAGGCTACAGTTTGAAGCATTCACGGTGTTTGAAAGTTTGAAATATGTTATTTTGTTTTCTTTTAGTGGCATCCCGTTTTCGCCTGAAGGCCAGACAAGTCGGGCTTGGATACTAGGATGTTGACAAACATCAGTCACTGATATGTTGACAAGTGGCTAACATACTGAGATGTTATCAAGCATCTGTGATAATTCGACATGGACTTTATTACACTGTGATAACATAGGTACACAACCATGTGACGGAAAACAAACGAGACATGTGACAGCATTAGAAGGCTTCACATGTGCAAAGTCTTCATAAAATAACATGGTTTTTTTTTTTTATTTATTTATTTACTGCTTAGAGTCTGATCTACTACTTTTTTCAGGATAGTCGTGTTGAATATTTTAGCAATGAACTTATTGTCACTATGGATCTTTATTATCAGAGAGGGACGAATGTTCATCACTATTGAGTAGATCTTATAATGCAATCCTGAAAGTTAGAGTATATTCTTCTCATCTCTATTATTGTTGGTGTGTAGATAGTCGGATAGTCGACCTCTTACAGTGACAGTATTCCTGACGGTATCTATATACTGGTCACGGCTAGTGTTGATAGATAACAGTGGGTGACAAAACGAAAGTAGAATCATTTAAGTATATCTGCTGTAATTAGCTGTTGCAGTTAACACTGTATATGGATTTGGTAGATACTTGGAAGTCTCTGATCGATTTCTGATGTATTTCAACATAAAAATTATCAGACAGATATGTCGTAATCAGAATCATGTCGACTGGAAACATTTCTAAATATCTGAAAATGTATCTGATCTCAGTCGGAGGTAGACAACTCTCAACAATTTTATCTTTATATATTCCGTCCATGTGGAAGTCACAGAAAACTGTTTGTCATGTCCATTGTATTACTTTCTTATTTTATTGTAATTCTTTTATGAATGTTGAAATTTAGTCAAGGAAAATCTACGTTGAATTGGTCTGTTCGAAATTTTAACGCAAATTTTTGAAATGTAATTAAAATATTTTCACAAGTACATGTATGCTTCTTCAGTGTTTATTTATGAGGCGATGATGAGTAATGGATAAGAAAATACGTTGTGATATCGATACAAAACTTCTAAATAAGAGCTCTGAATAAAAGTGTATCAAAAGTACATATCAACATAAATGACAATAAATACACAGTTTCTCTCTCACACACGTATACAACAGGAGTTCCAGAAGACAGTGTCTCTCACACGTATATAACAGGAGATACAGAAGGCAGTGTCTCTCACACACAGGTACACAACAGGAGTCACAGAAGGCAGTGTCTCTCGCACGTATATAACAGGAGATACAGAAGACAGTGTCTCTCACACGTATATAACAGGAGATACAGCAGGCAGTGTCTCACACACAGGTACACAACAGGAGTCACAGAAGGCAGTGTCTCTCACACGTATACGACAGGACTTACAGAAGGCAGTGTCTCTCACACGTATACAACAGGTGTTAGAGAAGGTTGTGTCTCTCATACACACGTATACAACAGTAGTTACAGAAGGCAGTGTCTCTCACACGTATACAACAGGAGTTAGAGAAGGCTGTGTCTCACACACACACGTATACAACAGTAGTTACAGAAGGCAGTGTCTCTCACACGTATACGACAAGAGTTACAGAAGACAGTGTCTCTCACACACGTATACGACAAGAGTTACAGAAGACAATCTCTCTCACACATATATACGACAGGTGTTACAGAAGACAGTCTCTCTCACACACGTATACGACAGTGATTACTGAATACAGTGTCTCTCTAACACACGTATACGACAGAAGCTACAGAAGACAGTCTCTCTCACACGTATACAACAGTGATTACTGAATACAGTGTCTCTCTAACACACGTATACGACAGAAGCTACAGAAGACAGTCTCTCTCACACGTATACGACAGTGATTACTGAATACAGTGTCTCTCTAACACACGTATACGACAGAAGCTACAGAAGACAATCTCTCTCACACATATATACAACAGGAGTTGCAGAAGACAGTGTCTCTCACATACGTATACGACAGGTGTTACAGAAGACAGTCTCTCTCACACACGTATACGACAGAAGCTGCAGAAGACAGTCTCTCTCACACGTATACGACAGAAGCTACAGAAGACAATCTCTAACACACGTATACGACAGTGATTACTGAATACAGTGTCTCTCTAACACACGTATACGACAGAAGCTGCAGAAGACAGTCTCTCTCACACGTATACGACAGAAGCTACAGAAGACAATCTCTAACACACGTATACGACAGAAGCTGCAGAAGACAATCTCTCTCACACACGTATACGACAGTGTCTCTCTAACACACGTATACGACAGAAGCTACAGAAGACAGTCTCTCTCACACACGTATACGACAGTGATTACTGAATACAGTGTCTCTCTAACACACGTATACGACAGAAGCTACAGAAGACAATCTCTCTCACACGTATACAACAGGAGTTACAGAAGGCAGTGTCTCTCACACGTATACGACAAGAGTTACAGAAGACAGTGTCTCTCACATACGTATACGACAGGTGTTACAGAAGACAGTCTCTCTCACACACGTATACGACAGTGATTACTGAATACAGTGTCTCTCTAACACACGTATACGACAGAAGCTACAGAAGACAGTGTCTCTCACACACGTATACGACAGAAGCTACAGAAGACAGTGTCTCTCACATACGTATACGACAGGTGTTACAGAAGACAGTCTCTCTCACACACGTATACGACAGTGATTACTGAATACAGTGTCTCTCTAACACACGTATACGACAGAAGCTACAGAAGACAATCTCTCTCACACACGTATACGACAGAAGCTACAGAAGACAATCTCTCTCACACATATATACAACAGGAGTTACAGAAGACAGTGTCTCTCACATACGTATACGACAGGTGTTACAGAAGACAGTCTCTCTCACACACGTATACGACAGGAGTTACAGAAGACAGTCTCTCTCACACGTATACGACAGAAGCTGCAGAAGACAATCTCTCTCACACACGTATACGACAGTGATTACTGAATACAGTGTCTCTCTAACACACGTATACGACAGAAGCTGCAGAAGACAATCTCTCTCACACACGTATACGACAGTGATTACTGAATACAGTGTCTCTCACACACGTATACGACAGAAGCTACAGAAGACAGTGTCTCTCGCACATATATACAACAGGAGTTGCAGAAGACAGTCTCTCTCACACACATTCGAATAGTGGCACTGTTCAGAGTATACACCTGTATTTGACGGTGTTTTAGAATTGTCTGTTTTATGAAAATAACGATACTTAAGTTACAGGGTCAGATCTTCATGTATATATATCACACGACGCCTGTGTAAGTTCAGGTGTAAGTTCGGTCCGTTTATTCCATTAGACAGTTGTACGTACAAGATGAACTCTGCAATGACAATACACAAATAACATTAACCATATAACAAATATCACACACGCAAAACATACATATATCACTTTGACAAATAGATCATTTAACTGTATACTTGCAACACTAGTACAGCATTGAGTAATATTGAATTTTATTAATTGTTGTTACATAATTCCATTACAGATATAGCGAACATAAAGATATTTCTATGAACAATGCGTTCCTAGTTTATTATTTACAATATGAAGTATTATAACTAAACCTGAATACTATGAATTATCTACATACTAATGGAATACATATAAAATTAATTACCTGTGTATGGCACAGAGTTTGTAGGTATATTGTCACTTATTTTTACATATTGGTAGGACAAGTCTGTAAAGTTACAAACAGAGAAACTAGAAATCCGGACTAAATTAACTGTATCATTATGTAATATTATAATGTACATATATCAAAAATGGATTTTAACAGATTCAAATAATATGCTATTTTAATTCCTTCACTGGTTTACTGTAGTTTTGTATAAATACATAACAATGAAACTATTTGACATCAACGTAATATGAATCTTACTCTTTATAAATATAATAATTAAATACCACTAGAAGGAGAGTACAGGATAATAAAGATTAAACTTACAATGCTCGTCCTTTACCGGCCGGTCACACAATCACACAATGACCGGAACCTAAAAACTACCGCGAAATCGACGAGCCAATGAAATAAGACATAAGACTGTGACGTAAGACAAAGACTAAACTGACCACACGATACGATACTAGCAGACGATACTAGACTATACTCTAAGACGAGATACAGTATAAACGGAAACTAATAAATACGAATGAACAATTAGGAAGACAAAACAATTTACAATATATCCGAAAAGTCTATCCTTCTTCACTTATTAAATTATGGGACTGCTGCATCTCTTCGTCTAGATTATGATTTTCCTTAGTCGCCCCTTTAGCTTCAAAATTTAGATCCTTAGCACCACTGACGAGTTCTAGAAGGACTAAACAGCTGCAAAATGTAGTTTAATTCATTGTTTGGCTCTACTCAGAACAAATACAAACTGTTCCTGTGTAAACCCTGAACCACCAAATAAAATACAAACTGTTCCTGTGTAAACCCTGAACCACCATATCTAGTACAAACTGTTCCTGTGTAAACCCTGAACCACCATATCTAGAACAAACTGTTCCTGTGTAAACCCTGAACCACCATATCAAGTGCAAACTGTTCCTGTGTAAACCCTGAACCACAAAATAAAATACAAGCTGTTCCTATGTAAGCCAGGAAGGACCAAAAACAAGTGCAAACTGTTCCTGTGTAAACCCTGAACCACCATATCAAGTGCAAACTGTTCCTGTGTAAACCCTGAACCACCATATCAAGTGCAAACTGTTCCTGTGTAAACCCTGAACCACAAAATAAAATACAAGCTGTTCCTATGTAAGCCAGGAAGGACCAAAAACAAGTGCAAACTGTTCCTGTGTAAACCCTGAACCACCATATCAAGTGCAAACTGTTCCTGTGTAAACCCTGAACCACCATATCAAGTGCAAACTGTTCCTGTGTAAACCCTGAACCACCATATCTAGAACAAACTGTTCCTGTGTAAACCCTGAACCACCAAATAAAATACAAACTGTTCCTGTATAAACCCTGAACCACCAAAAACAAGTACAAGCTGTTCCGAAGTAAACCCTGAACCACCATATCAAGTACAAACTGTTCCTGTGTAAACCCTGAACCACCATATCAAGTGCAAACTGTTCCTGTGTAAACCCTGAACCACCATATCAAGTGCAAACTGTTCCTGTGTAAACCCTGAACCACAAAATAAAATACAAGCTGTTCCTATGTAAGCCAGGAAGGACCAAAAACAAGTGCAAACTGTTCCTGTGTAAACCCTGAACCACCATATCAAGTGCAAACTGTTCCTGTGTAAACCTTGAACCACCACATCTAGTACAAACTGTTCCTGTGTAAACCCTGAACCACCAAATAAAATACAAACTGTTCCTGTGTAAACCCTGAACCACCAAAAACAAGTACAAACTGTTCCTGTGTAAACCCTGAACCACACAGTAGACGCATGTACAAACTGTAAGCCAATAAATAATGAATTATTGTGTTAAACAATTGACGTCATTGTCGTATGGAGTAAGAACAGAAATAGAGAGCACAGGTATCTTTCCCATAGATTTAATTTCCAATGGTTAGATATGTATGTGTACCCTGTGTTTACATATGTATGTGTGTATGTGACTCCGTATAAACAGGGACGTTTGTGTCATATCAATCTTCGTCACGTGAGTATAAAACACCTACGTTAGCAAAACAAAATCGGAATACCTTTTCCACTTTCATTATACTCTTATGATGATATCGGGTATTCTCGAAAATCCTGCAAGCTAAGCACGATATCGGACTAATGACAAACGGTACTATTTATAGAAGGTGACGTAGTCCTCTAGGTATATATAAACTGTGATAGGCTGTCAATCGGCGGAACCACTGCCCAGCCGCTTTCAGTCACTGTTACACGATGGTGGACTGGAAGTGGGTTTTGTCCAAGGTGCAAATCAACCCACCTTAGTGTCAAACGCTTACTTCGTAACCTCCAAGTTTTCGCACTTGGGGATCCGTTCCCGGTTTTCGGATCCATGCCGTAGCGACCCCGCCATCCCTGTTTAGGGCTATGGGGTAGGTGTGGACACCCGAAGACCACACGAGCTAGCCTACTGCGTCACTGGTCACATAAACAGGGCACGGAGTTTGGCTGGTGTGGTCTTGGGATTAACATCGATGTTTATCTTAAGGTGAGTGCGTTCAGCTTTAACGGACAGTCTAATAGTCATCAGTTTAATAACTCAAATGGTAACGGTTCAACAACTTTTCTTTTTCTAAATGTTCACCAGGTTGATATAAACAAATGTTCATCAGGTTAATGTCTGTTATAGGTAAATGTTTGTCAGTTTAGTGCTTGCTACAGTAAAGGTTGTCAACTTGATATATATGTACTAGTAAATAATGTTCGTTTTGTTTAATTACCAGTTAATCATGTTAATGCTTGTTAGGTAAATGTTTATCAACAACGTTTGTTTTTGATAATTGTTCTTATATTCATTTCTTGGGGTTACTTGTCACCAGTTTGACATATGTTATGGTAAATACCGTCCAATGTTTGTTCGTTTGATTAATTTTCATTGGTTCAAGTCTCGTCGTTGACGTCTTGTATAACTACCACGTAGAGAGTAAAACATGAACAAACGTTTTAGTTATTGTTCCAGTCGGTTAAGCTCTACTTCTATCTGTTTGGAACGACTGTCCGTTATAGTGGTGAGGTTATGTTGTAAGCGTTGTCACTAAGGTAGCTGACTTACATCCTGTGACGAAAACCATTTCCTGTCGACCATCGTGATGGGGGTGAAGAGAGGACATACGAGTACAACATGTGAAGATATACCACGGAATGCTATAGAAACAATAAAATATTACTCTGGGGTTTGTGTTTTTTTACTCCATGAATGTTTTACCCATATATTGAAACGTGTCATTTAAATCTCTCACAAAAACAGGTAAAATTACACTTCCGCTTATGGCGAGATTTCGTAAGGGCGTAACGGATTTAGCTGTAGCTGTTGAACATAACTGTAGGAAAATAATGATTCTAGGAACTAATCAAACTGCGTTTGGAAGAAGATTTCAGCTGTGGAGGTTAGGAAGTGTTAGCTTTGGAAAGTATATTTTAACTTTGGAGGGTAGATATTTCTTTAGCTTTGGAAGGTAGACGATTTTAACTGTGGAGGGTAGATATTTCTTTAGCTTTGAAGGGAGAACAAATGATTTTTAACTTTAAAGGGTAGACGATTTTAACTTATGGGGAGTAGACAGTTTAAACTTTAGAAAGTAGATGACATTGGTTTTTAACTTTAGAGGTTTGATGACTTCAGCCTTGGAGGGTAGATGATTTCAACTTTTAAGGATTGCTCATTTTTACTTTGGAGGGTAGACGATTTCAATTTTGGAGGTTGGATTTTTTTCAGCTTTGGGTGCCAGTGTAGACATCCTGTAACACTGAATTATAAACCCTTCAGTGTTGCCTATGCAAAATGGAGTCGGCGCCATGGTGTTTATATATGCATTAGTGAACCTATTTGAAGCACATTTAAGCTTTGTTAGCTCAGAAGTATTTTAAGGAAAGTTTACCATCTTAACAAAAAGACGAGACTGTTGTATCGTTGTGTAGCAATAAACTTGTCATACGATGTTCCATGATATACCGAATGTAACTATTCAATGTTTGGATCTTCTGCATCTTATCCGAATAATGCGACAAATTTAGCACCACGTGAGTGTATTTCCGAGGAGACAGACTTCCCATATTTACAGACAATGTAGTCTTATTCTCTTTATTTTTGCCGTGACCGTAGACACTGTTCACATCTAGAATTGTCATTTAAATGTATTGGCAACGTCAAGTTGATTTTACCAATGACCTTGGGCTTTACTATCTAAATCGCCAATGGTTGTGAAGAACTCTGTACTAGGGTAATGATTTTGTTATCATGGGTTCGTAGTTATTAAATGTTTTAAGAATAAAATTGACCATACATAACCACTTGCTTCAATAATTAGAATTATGAATGTAAGTTCCGGTGGATTTAATTCATTATTTTGTGGTTTTATTCAACAAGTGCAATGATCATTATTCCCTTCCTAGCTTCATCGATACAATGGCAATTTTCATGTTCTATTTAACAAATTAATAAACATAATACATGATAATAAGTCAATTGTGTGAATGATGGGTGTGTCATGTCTTATTTTAATGTACCATGCAAAATTTGAAAAATAAAAAAATACAAAAAAAATGTATATCTTAGTTTATATATTTTTGAAGTTAAAATGTGAATCTGCATTCAGTGCATTGTGATATCTATAACAGAGATACACACGACTAAGGAAAAAAAGAAACCATTGTTTACAAATCATTTATTCACAATTTTCTTTATATCAAAACATTTAAACAATATGCAACATATACATGTACTCCAGAGTAGTACAAACTGTACTCCTGACACAGTCTGCAGATAGATCATTAGTTTGACATGAATGACATTGATGAATGATTTTTATTTATGAAAAATAACTCAATTTACCTTTAATTAAAACAAATGACACAGACTTTTAAAATAAAAGTATGACCTATACAATGATACAAGTGATGCACAAGAGAAATAGAAATGAATTCTTGGTATTTAATAAATGAACTATTTCCTGTAATCCCTACAAACATTTTCTCCACTTCCACACACCATTCTCAAGCTTTTTATCACACAATGCATTCTAGGAAAAAAAGTTTAAAGAGATATTCCTTTTTAACTTGAAATTTGAACAATTCATGATCATGAAACAATGAAATTATGATGAGGATGTTTAAAAGACATGATAGATGTTATCTGGTTAAAAGTGATTCCATTGTACAGTCTGTATTGTTACTTAGATTTCTTAGTCCTGGTCAAGATTGCCAGATCTGTAGAACCTCTCCTCATTCTTTTGAACGAGTTAAGTTAAGCTGTTGTGGATGGTATACCTTTTTCATCTCACAGACAGTTTATGAAATCACTTCAGTTCTATACATGTAATCCCAAACTGTTAGGATTGACATATAACTTAAGATTGGTGATCTTGGTGCTGTTCTCAATTTACTGAAACCAATTACTATCATGTACAACATTGTAACCATATTTCTCAAATGCCACACAAGTTTTAATCCAACATTCCGTAAATATGTACCACAATTAGTCAGAACTTCTAGAAACCTTGTGAAACCTGAACAAATGGTCACTTTTCCCTGTGGAAGGTGATATGGCGTCAATACTCTACCACCTCACAGAACATACATAACACCGATAGAATGATTCTACTTGTGACTAGGCTCCATCTCCATGTTCACCATTCATGCCACACAAATCTTTTCTTTGCCTTGATCTTGGGTCTTGGATCTTTCATCTTATTGTCATGTGGCCTTGGGTTCCAGTTTCAGCTCTATCATGACGGTTTCATGACAGATTCATCAAAAATCTTGGAAATTTCTAGGTAGTTGCTAAATGAATTGCTATTTCTTATCCCTATACACACAAACGAACATTCTCTGCTTCCAAACATTCTTCTGGTTACCAATCATATCACACATTCTAAAAAAAAAAATAGATTTAAGAAACAAGACATTCTTCTTGGGGAATTGTAAGGGACACAACTCCATGATTTGGAAGTCAACAGCAAAGTGACACATTGCCATACTCTTGATACAATCCATCTTGTAAAACTTGATCTTTAAATACGTAACTTTCAGTAAAAAACTGAGCCAACCGTGTCAATAGCGTGAGTCAGTTGGCCAAGTGTTCTATGGTGTTTACAACTGACATTATACTCCATGTAAAGTCTTGATCAATGTTTCTTCTAGGCGAATAATTATATATCACTTTCCTGTTGCCATTGGATTTCTAAGCACCAATATCACAGAATCTCCTCTTAGGAACATTTTTGAAATGTATCTGTCTTTGTTCACTGGTTTTGATTTCTTCTTTCCCTTTCCTGTTTTTGGTACCTCAGTCCACATTTCTTTAACATTTTCCAGCACCATATTACAATGCCTACAAGATAAAGAGCAACAATTACACAGTGGTAACTCTGGGCTGGAATCCTTGAACAAAATCAAAATGAAGACCTTAGGATAGTATATCTGCTCATGAATCTATCTTTAACAAATCATTAGCAAAACATTCAAAATCCTCAACTGCTTTTATAGAGAAAATAAAAATGTGCATTTCTGATTTCCGAGCCGACTGCAGTTTTTCATTGCCATATCATCTAGTTATGTAGAATCGGTTCCAGTTTCATATATGATAATTGAAATCGAACTGTTTGTGTATATGCAAAAGAGTTTTAGTTTTTTGTTTCTTGCATTGAAAATGTTAACATTAGGTATTTTTGCAGTATTTTGTTTTCTGTTGAATCCAAAACGCCATTTCCAAAATTTTGATGTGTCCAGTTACAAACATATATTAGGTTCATAAAAAACTGAGGGAGTCCCACAGGAAAAAGAAGTGATATTTGAAAGTAATGTTTTAAGTAGCTAGAAATTTTCTTTACTTCTTATATACCACTGCTAAAATCCTTTGAACACTGCTAATTGTAATTCTATCTAAATGAAATTTTACATAAGGAACACTTGACCTTACAATTTCTTAGACCAAGATATTTCTTTGTGATTTTGGAAGATTAAATGGTTTCTGTTGGGTGGGGGTGGTATTATTGCCCATTAATTTTTTTGGCCAATTTTGTACACTAATAAGTGTTTCCTTATGTCTCATGGTCTACAGCACAGGTGCATGTGTTCACATTTATACTGCCCATTCTTGGTGCAAATGTCAAGTCACGTGGGCAAGACATGAGGCTCCTCAAACAAGGAACTTTAAAAGAATTTGAAGAGGTGAAAGCAGAAAGGCCATCTTTCACTTATGCTAACCCTGTCAATTTGGAACCTGCAAATGTCAACACTGATATCAATAATTTCACCTGTCAAATGCCTTCACTCTGGCAAGAAGTTTTTTGTTGTTTCTACAGTTGATGAGGACCTGTGTGTTATTCTTAACAGACTGTGTCAAAACTGACAAGGGTCCGGTGTTAAATTCCTCCTGTTCTCGCTGTTGGAGCTCCTCTGGCGTCATCTCACTCTTGGGCTTCTGCATTAATGCCCTAACAACGAAAGAACTTCATTAGTAATATTGAAATGCCAAATCACACTTCACTTAATTTCCAATTGAAGATTCACATTAAGACCTGCACAATTTCATCACAAGTTAATCAACTGATGATAGTGTTTTCTCAACAAATAATCTGTTTACAATTATAACAGCTAACTTGTGCCAACATTAATATTATAAGCTTATTCACTGACCAATAAAGATGAGGTAAAGGACATTATTTGCGACACGTATGCAAGAACTGGAAACAAGGTTTTACAAGATAACTGAATCAAGGAAAGTTGTTTTCCTGTGAAATAAAAGATGTTTGTGTTCGTCGCGGGAACGTTGATTCAACGCATAAAATGGTGGACGAGTTTTCTTCCAGTTAAGAACACCTACGTTCCGTCTCTAAATGTGCATTTTCGGTGAAACTATGAACATGAACAACGGCGTAAAAACTGTGAATGCTGAATTATTATTTAAATGACTGAAATTTTCGGTCTATGTGCAATTAAAAGTTCAGTGCAAATGCTCTCTTGAAGTATAACACGAATGTACACAAGAAGTTTATCAGTTTCCATATTTCTCTGGTGTTTATAATTGTGACAGTGCATTTATAAAACAATACAGCATACTTATGTCGCATGCAAGTTAAAATCGTTTTGCAAAACTCAATGCGTTTGTAAATAACATGACATTTCTGTAAGTATCATTGTTATGATTGTAATACCGGCGCCGGCGAACATTGTTTTGGTCTAAAAGCATGTACTTCATAGAACTTTAGAAGGAAAATAATGTCATGCATCCACTTTTGTTTAAGTTGTTCACAACGAAATATCAGTAAAATGAACTTACGACATATTGATGCTTTGATTTCGTCGGATTTGAATTTAAAAGACAGATTTCGCTGCAGTTTCAGCGCGTCGGCTTGACGTTTATTGTTCAGTGCGCATGTTCACAATGCCTAACGTCCGGTTCCTGTGGAGATAATAATTACCCTTACGGACATTTCAACTACGCTTGGGCACTCCAAGAATTATTGATATAAACTTATTTTATATAGCTCTTTACTATTATGATAGATTAGTATTGAGTTCAAAAATACATTTGTTTGGTCTCCAACGATGAGGCGTAATTATAAGAAATTATATTTTCAACAATCCTCATATTAAAGTTCCGTTGGCTCAGAGACGTCTCCGATTGGCATAACCAGAGACGTATATATCACATACGTCTCTGGCATAACCGTGCAAATGCAAGTCTGCCATCGCCGACTCATCTGAGGTCCCATGACTTAAAAATAAATATTGTCTACTGGTTTCATTGTTGCTAACAACGTTATCATTATTATAAGCAGTGACTTATGAATTAAATCATACAGTCATTAGACGTCATTGGTGTGGTGTAGCCGATGATACCGACAGAAGACGCCTACACTCAGATCGCGCTTTGTGTCTATCGCTCTACTGGTTATTTCTAAAGTGAATTTGTTTTTCATGCAAAACTTCATCATCAGATTTGTCACTTAGGGATCGATCGTCGTTTGATAAATAAAAACAAAAAACAAAAAACTGACCATTGATGCTAGGTTGTGCCGTTCCCTCCAGGCTGTGTTGGGCTGTATTTATTTATACACTTCCATAAAGTGGGAAGAAAACGTGTCGTTCAGCCGCAGTATCAACGAAATTAAACCCTGCTACATAAAAACAGAAACAAACAAAAAAACTGCAAAGGTGAATCAGGTACGCAATAGTTAAATGCACTCGACTGATAAGAATATTATGTGCTGGATTGGAACATATTACCACTGATCCTACCCTTTTTATGTATTCTCATTGTAACGTGCCCCAGTGGTGTAACGTGATGTATTGTCCTGATTTCAAGTCACCTGCAACCGATGCGTTCATACCTAAATCACATATTTCACAGATACTTTGTATACACAACTGGTTACACTGCGCCATCATTTCAAGAATCACACTAGACCGAAAATCTGTGTCTCTGAAATGATAATTTAATGTCAATATTCACATTTATTATGCTGTTATTGATATTCACATTTTTATTGACTACAAAATTATCATTTTAGAAACAGAAAATTTCGGTCTAGGGGAACATTACATCTGATAAGAGTATGCACTTATACAATATATATAACTCTATCGCCTCGTACAGCACAGGATGTCAGAAATCATCCTTACATATGTACAGATCACCTCACTAGTGTTGACTTGTGGGAGTTTCTCTTTAGTCTAGATGCAGGGCATTGGCTTTGGGAGTGCAAGCTTATTAGTTTGAGCCCTAGGTCATTATGGTGCTCCATCTTTTATATTGATATTTGATGTTTCAAATACTTTGCATTGCAACCTGTGTATGTTTTTTTTTTACCTGTAGTAAAAAAATTACAACAATGAAGACATCACTGATTTGCCAGTTGGCTGCTTTTGCACTGATCGCCACAGTGTCGTGTAATGATGGAAAGGACAAACGATTGCAGATTGGTGTGAAGAAAAGAGCTGATCCAGCCAAGTGCACCATTAAATCCAAGAAGGGAGATACTCTCAACATGCACTATACTGTAAGTCTCGGTATTTTCTGTACCATCAATAGGATATATAATGCAGTGTGATGTCATATAGGGTACAATGTTATGTCCTATGATTATAAACAATGTGATGTCCTGTAGAATATAATATGAAATCCATCAGAATACAATCTAATGTCCTGTAAGATATAATATGGTGCCCTGTAGAATGCAATGTGATGTCCTGAAGGGTACAATGTGATGTCCTGAAGGGTACAATGTGATGTCCTATAACATACTGGATGCTTTCCTTTAGAATACTATATGATGTCCTATAGGATAGAATGTGATGACCTGTAGGATAAGTTATGATGTCCTTGATGATACAATGTGGTCTCCTATAGAATACAATGTGATGTCATCTAGGGTACATTGTGATGTCCAGTAGGATAAAATGTTTTGTCCCCTGGGATTTGATATGTAAGTTTACAAGCTTATTCCAAAACTTATAGAGGTTCTGTTTTTACAAGACACTACTCTATCCACGACTAGTATTTAGTTATATGTATAGATATTGCAATGGTTAAATATTTTACTTTCTAAGCCCATTACAAGTAGCCTGTAGTTAGTCTTCTGGATAGAAGTTCTGTTATCTAATAGGAGATTTATTTGACTTATTATTAATGAAACCCTAAGATTTGTTAATTTATAATTTTAGGGTAAACTTGAAGATGGAACAGAATTTGACAGCAGCATACCACGTGGAAGACCTTTCACATTTACACTTGGCTCTAACCAAGTCATTAAAGGCTGGGAGCAGGGACTTTTGGGGTATGTCAACTCACAGTTAAATAAATATAACCTCAAATCACAGTAAATACTTAGGTTAGAAGTAGTGACTTCTCAGTTACCTCAAATCACAGTAAATACAAAGGTTAGAAGCAGTGACTTCTCAGTTACCTCAAATCACAGTAAATACAAAGGTTAGAAGCAGTGACTTCTCAGTTACCTCAAATCACATTAAATACAAAGGTTAGAAGCAGTGACTTCCTGGTTACCTCAAATCACAGTAAATACAAAGGTTAGAAGCAGTGACTTCTCAGTTACCTCAAATCACATTAAATACTAAGGTTAGGAGCAGTGACTTCCTGGTTACCTCAAATCACAATAAATACTAAGGGTAGAAGCAGTGACTTCCCGGTTACCTCAAATCACAGTAAATACTAAGGTTAGGAGCAGTGACTTCCTGGTTACCTCAAATCACAATAAATACTAAGGGTAGAAGCAGTGACTTCCCGGTTACCTCAAATCACAGTAAATACTACGGGAAGGAGCAAGGACTTCTCTGGTATGTCAAACAAATAATGATAAAAAGGGGGAGTAAAGCCATAAGAAGTTAAAAAGTAACGATTTACAGTAAAACTGATAACTTCAATTTTATTTTCAGAATGTGTGAAGGAGAGAAACGAAAGCTTGTTATTCCTCCTGAACTTGGATATGGTGACAATGGTGCCCCTCCAAAGATTCCTGGTATGTGCTATTAATTAAGCTGAAAGTTAATGTTTGATAAATATTGGAAGAGTAAATCCTCCTAAACCTAACCTCATGTTGAGGTGGTAAATACTCACAAACATCACCTGACAATGAGACATTAAATATCTGCAAACTTCACCTCATGTTGAGGTGGTAAATACCCACAAACCTCACCTCATGTTGAGGTGGTAAATACCCACAAACCTCACGTCATGTTGAGGTGGTAAATACTCATAAACATCACCTGACAATGAGACAGTTTATCTCACCTGACAATGAGACAATAAGCACCCACAAACGTCACCTCCCAATGACACATTTAATACCCGCAAACCTCCCATCACATTGACAGCACATACCCTCAAACCTCACCTTGCAGGAAGACGGTAAATACTTGCAAACCTCACATCACAATGAGACAGTAAACCTCACCTCTCAATGAGACAGTAACCCTCACCTCACATTGAGACCGTAAATACCCATGAACCTCACCTCATCTCAAAATTAGACAATAAATAACTGAAAACCTCACCTCATGTTTAGAGAGTAAATATCCAAAAATATCACTTTCCAATCTGAGACAGTGAATAGCCACAAATCTCACCTAATGTTGAGAAGGTAAATATCTACAAACCTCACCTTCCGAGTCTTGATAGATTTCTTACTTGTGCGAAACTACAAACTTTTTCATGTTATGGTAGCCATAATGATATTTTTATCTTTCCACAGGCGGCAGTACTCTGGTGTTTGAGGTTGAATTAATATCTATTGAGCGCAAAGATGAACTGTGAATAGCAAAACTGTGATATCTGTATCACATGAAGTGTTAACGGAGAGAGTTAGAATGTAGAGGAGTGTATGGGGACAGATTGTTATCTATTGTATGGTGGGTATGTGTTGGTGTAATTTGCATAAAATATCTACAGTTGTCGTTTCTTTTGGAAAATTTTGATATTGATTTTTGGTGTATTTTAATCCTATTTTGTTTAAAATTTAGTCATTGGAAAGAACTTCACATAAGATCACTTTGCTAAGAAGATATTAGTATGTAATATACTTTTCATCGGACAGTGACTATGCACAGTAAAATGGTTTCTTATAGCATTGAACAAACTATTTACAACATATTTTCTATTCATGAATACCCATAAGATGAATTTATGGTGATTTGATCATTTATTCCTTTGATGAAAATGTTTTGATTTACTGTAATTGTATGTTGAAAATTCGAAATCCAGAGATGTTACTGTATGGATAAATATACAAAGGAGTTTTAATTTATGTTATTCAGATTCATTAGCTCATGTCTGTTGATTATACTGTACATGTTGTTAAGTTGGACACATCACCCAACATTTAACAAGGGTTATATCTGGGAGTCATTTGAATATCAGTTGTACCAATATGTGATCAATTTTTCCTGTATAAGGTAATATATAGTGATTAAGTGATAAACATATCCTGTGTTCCCATTTCATTTTACACATAAAATCATTTCAAAATCATCATGCACATTTGAAATCTTAGATTTGAAAGATTGTTCAGAGGGTACCATTTGCAAAAATAAAAACGTTTTCTACTTTCATTTGTGTTGGTGTGTAACTATTGAGTAATGTTGTCTCTGGTATCAATAATTGTCCAGTGATGAAACTTGTAAATGTACTTGTAACCTCAGGACATATGCACTCCTGTAACACACACATGTATAACTGTTACCCACATATTTGTGTATCTGTATCTCACACAGATGTGTATATATGTAACCACTAGATGTACATCTGTAACACCTAGACATATTTACCAGTAATACCCATGTTTACTTTTAAACGCCCCCATGTGTACCTGTAACCCCTACAGATCTATACCTGTAACCCCTACAGATGTAAACCTGTAACCTCTACAGATGTATACCTGTAACTCCTACAGATGTATACCTGTAACTCCTACAGATGTATACCTGTAACTTCCACAGATGTATACCTGTAACCCCTACAGATGTATACCTGTAAACCCTACAGATGTAAACCTGTAACCTCTACATATGTATACCTGTAACTTCCACAGATGTATACCTGTAAGTCCTACAGATGTATACCTGTAACTCCCACAGATGTATACCTGTAACCCCTACAGATGTATACATGTAACTTCCACAGATGTATACCTGTAACCCCTACAGATGTATACATGTAACCCTTACAAATGTATACCTGTAACTCCCACAGATGTATACCTGTAACCCTTACAGATGTATACCTGTATCCCCTACAGATGTATACCTGTAACCCTTACAAATGTATACCTGTAACTCCCACAGATGTATTCCTGTAACCCCCAACAGATGTATACCTGTAACCCTTGCAGATGTATACCTGTAACCCTTGCAGATGTATACCTGTAACCCCTACAGATGTATACCTGTAACTCCCACAGATGTATACCTGTAACCCCAACAGATGTGTACCTGTAACTCCCACAGATGTATACCTGTAACCCCAACAGATGTGTACCTGTAACTCCCACAGATGTATACCTGTAACCCTTGCAGATGTATACCTGTAACCCCCACAGATGTATACCTGTAACTCCTACAGATGTATACCTGTAACCCCCACAGATGTATACCTGTAACCCCCACAGATGTATACCTGTAACCCCCACAGATGTCTCCTGTAACCCTCACAGATTTATACCTAAAACACCTTGTACTTTAAACCAATCCCCCTCCAACTCATACTTGTACCTGTAACCTCCACAAATGTATACCTGTAATGTCCAGATGGATGTACACCTGTAACACCGAGGAATATTTAAATGTAATACCTATGTTTACTTGGTAAAGAATTTAGAAAGGTGTCTTTTGGGTGACCATACTTGGTAGAGAATCTATAGGGGTGTCTGTTGGTGACCATTTGATTCGAGATATGGACTTGTCGTATACTGGTACATGTACTCATTTACATTTCTCTGGAGACAATAAACTGATCAATTGAGGACTTTGTGTTAGTTTGCAAATTTTGTTGATCACCAACACCTTGTCAACATATGAAGTATTTAATAAGCTCTAGTATAAAAGCCTGTGCTGTGGTCATTGTTCTTCCAGTCCTGATTATGAAGGTTTGTTGGGATTCAGTTACCTGGACATGATTTATACTTAATTCTCATTTGAGGATAGAAAAAAGAAAACTAATCTAATGTTGGTGCCCAAGAACATTCTGGAAGCAGGGATACATTACAGCTGGTGTTATCAAATACAAACATGAAAGCAATGTGCCCAGTAAAAGAGGTTTATTCAGATGCATCCATAGCTGTATATTGTATTTTATACAAAGAGGTAGTATGGGAAAATACTGTGACATACAATTACATAAATGGTATATTTGTAAAATATATTAATTATATTTCTTATACTTTTTCAAAGTGATTACTTCCAAGCTCCAAGTTAGCAATGTAGTGAACTATTGGTGATGTGTGGATATTCAGTTCAAGTTTTTGCTTGAAGTGGTCAACAACTCACTGTTGTTTAAGTGACAGCTGGTAAGACACCACTAGTGTCTATATTCCTATGATTAAGATAATGTAAACTATTAAGACAACATATTATTGTTAAGATATTATGACTTGTAAGACACCACATGTGTCTGTCAGAGTAAGATGGTGCAACTGAAAGACACCGTGTGTCGATAGGATCAAGCTATTGTAAATGGTAAGACACCCCAGATGTCTTTTATAATAAGAAGCTCATAATGCCTGTATTGCTCACCTGGTTGAGCTTGTTGAAATTGATCGATTACAAAATTGAAGGTTAAATATTTTCCCTATTTGGCCCCCTCCTCCTAGAGAGGGTTAATGTACAGTGTGTACAAAACTGTATTTTCCTCACCAAGGATGCTGCAGATCAAATCTGGACAAAATCAAATCGTTACAACAGAAGGATTTAAGAAATTTTGCTCCGTTTCCACTATGGGGCCCCATCCCTCTCATCTTGGGAGTTGGAAAGCCACTGTTCACAAAAAATTGATCCCTCTTCACTCAAGCCTATCTCGGACCAAATTGGGACAGAATCCAGGCAATCCCACATACAAAGAACAATTTCAAAGAATTTACCCTAATTCCTATATTGGGCCCAGCTTCTCTTGCCCGATATTTACCATTTTTGGTTAAAATTCACTCCGTCATTCATGACTAGTAGCACTTGTAGGAAAAGCTCGACAGACGACAGAAGCTGTGGTATTTATGGTTCAGATTTTTTAACTAGTAAAACACCATCTTCCTTTGGTTGTGTCTACATTCTTACATGGTTAAGATGGTGAAACTGGCAAGACAAAACATGTCTATATGGTTAAGATTATGTAACTGGATAGACACTACATGTGTCTATCTTACTATGGTTATGACTGTGTAACTGGTAAGACACCAAAATATAGTGTCTTCCTTACAAATGCTATGTTTTGATCACTTGTTGAGTGTGGTTATGTTATTTGGTTTATGTCATCCTCTGTAGATAACTGCCAATGACTTAAGGTCAAAGCCTTTTAGACAATTAAATTAGTGAACCATTGCTATTTAAGAATTAAAGAGTGGGATGGCTAGGAATCTCACCAACACTGCACAGAATCATTTTTAACACATTCAGCCTCCTACCCCTTCCCAACTAATCCTATGCTGGGAAATGGCAGAAGGTCAATAGATGTCAGTGAATTTTTTATAGCATCACCTCATATTTCAAATCTCTGCGTGTTATAGGAAATGTGATTGAAATCTCACCAGGACTCAACAGTATTTTTTTTACAAAACTGTTTATAGGTAAACTCAAGTATATAAAAACATTGTCTTGTACTAACATTACTACCATATGTTTCTGTTGAAGAACTGTATGATAAAAACACTTTAGCAAAGACATGCTTGATAAATTTTTCCAGCAAATTTCTTGAAATACCTTACTGGCTGGAACCTATAAAGTACTTGTAGCATTCCTTATTGGCGACTATACACAAGACACCAGGAAATAACTAAACATTATCTACAACATATAAGATAATTACTGACCCAGCAGGCTGTGTCTGGTTACTGCCACCAACAGGAGGGCAAATATGTCCCTAAATACCACCATGAAATGATTCTGAAAGCATGAGTTATAATCTTGAAATAAATAACCTAGAATGTGAAATTAATTCTGAAAGTCAAACTGAATGCTGCATGTAAAAACTCAATATGCCAAGTAAGTTATTTCAAACATACGATTTCAAACAAATAAAGAACAACACTATAAACTACAATACTATATTTGCTATAAACTTAACAGGATTATTGCTACTGATGAAAATAAGGGAAAGTCAAAACGTTGAATTCCTGTACCAGATAAACAGAACAAAACTACACTACGACTACATAACATTGGAACAGACACAACTATCCTACATTGAAAATTTGGACAGATATATTTCTTCTAATTCTATTATATAAGTATTTAAGGACAGACTTGTCTCCCTTAGAAAGGCTGTAAACTGTATACCCTAACATTAGACTGATCAGTAATCAAGTACATGTGTACCAGTATACAAGACCTAGAAAGGTTAAATAGTGTATATTGAAAGAACTTTATCATTCATGTATACCAAAGTACGATGTGAGTTGGTATACAAAGGGATGGCATTGACTGAGAGTAATGTTCCCAATTGTGATGCCATAAAACCACAATAATGTCAGATCATCAGATCTGTGTGTTTCGTGAATGTAGGTGAAACAGCAACAAAGTAGCACACAATCTACACTGTGGAATTGCAATGGGATGTAACACTGTATGGTAAATTTTGTGGTCCAAGACGGCTGATTTCTCAGTCATAGGCATCAAAATGATTGCTTGAATAACATTACATGTTTGAACATAGCAAGATTACAGAAATTAGAAAACATGTTTCATTTTCATGTAAAATGAAAACTCATACATGAGACATATCTATCACTATGCTGTATGATAACAATTGGTAAATATTCCAGGAACTAATAAATTTCAGTAATAATGTAATATTCCTAGTGTTTCCTAAATAAAATTTGACATGTATACAAATAAATAACTACCTGACAGAACTATCATTTGTTACCCGTCAGAAATACAACATCACATCATCAAAACGTCTTTAATAACACAGATTAAGTTCCCTTGGAAATTTGATAATATCTTCACAATTTCTTTTTTTCCAGTAAAGTAGCTAACCATATCAACCTTACTACAGCTGTAGAAAGCTGTGTAACATGTATGTTTGGTACAGGGTGATTTAATGTTCTTTCCAAACTGATAACATATATAGGACAATACAGAACTGGTAACAGACAATCAACATTAACAGGGTGATGATTCAATAGTTACACAGAATCATTTCAAATGTGTGGGTTTGTAGAAATGATAAACACACTTTTACACAAACTTGTAGAATTCATGGCTATTTACAGGGATATATTATGTAAAATCAAGTCGGGTATGATCTTGTGTACAGCAATAACAGCCTACAGTCAGGCAAATATACAGCGTACATATCGGAGGATCCAACAGCCACACAATCCAACACCACACCAATTTACTCACATGAGCCAGACACCTTTGGATTCAGATTTGCGTTTATAAAGGAGTACCAGACCTATAGCTGCATTACAACATTTGTTCAAATTTAAAAAAAATATGGTTTTAAATAGCGTATTGTTGTTAAATGGTGGTATCCTTGAAAGTTAAAAACATCCCTACCCTACACAAATACTGAAAAATATACTTTGTCTAGACACCTGTAATTATTTTAGGTAAAAAAGTGTTCCAGAGTGCTCTCTCCAGTCAGTGTCTTAATTCCAAGTAATCTTTCTTTACTGGTAAATACTGGTAAAAAATATTTCCACAGCAATAAGCATCAAGAGACATCCACAGATTTGGTCTACTGCAGCAGGTACATACCATTATCAGTTGTATATTACATAGGCGTAGACATATGTTGTTAATAATTAAAAGTAACTATGAAAATCTGACCAATTCTGTATCATGCAGCCAAAATGTAGTGACTGAGAACTTCATATAGAAACTTTGTTTAAGCATTTTTTGAAATTTTACAATGTTATTAATAAAACAGCTTGCTGTATGAGTAAACCACATACAAAGTAACATTTTACAGATACATAAATAACTGAAGAAAGTATCCAACACAGTTTCACTTTGTTGTTTCAGCTACAATGAGGAAAAACCTCAACACAAGTCACAAAATATTCTATAAATATATAAGACTACATTGTAGTACCTTTTAGTTCACATGTACTCATTTTGTAGGTATAAATATAACTTTCATAGTCTTCACAATCAGGTCAAAAATTCCAACTTTACTTTTGCATCTCTGAATTTGATAAAATCAAGCAATGACATACCACTGTATTCATAAAAACAAAGTTACTACAGAGTTTGTTTGGAGGTTAAGTGAAGGTCAACTGCCAACAAATATATTTAACACTCCAAGCTAATCAAAATTGTACTTATATTGCAGCATATCGTAGATGAGCATCAATTACAAGTCCAATCTTAACTAGATTGATTGTTACTCCACATTGGTTTAGAGGTCACAGGTCAACAGGTATCTAACATCAGGGTTTCTTTTGAGATATGGGAATCCAATCAGCATACATATGTAGAGACTTAATGTACAAACATTAACACAGCTTCATTATCTGTCAAAAATCAATCACTTTGATTGCTCTGCTAAATCTACAGATGGAAAATATTGGTTTCAGTAATGAAACGCAAATCAAAAGACCTGACATGACAACAATGGTATGTGATGCTGTCCATTCCAATTTTCATTCAGAATTAACTACTGCATAGTAAAGTTGATGTAGAGATCTGACATTAAGGACAACATAAATTGGTGATGGATATCGGAGAGTCTGGTAACAAATCTTATTGACACTCTCATCATAACTTAATTACAAAGAAAAAATAAAGCTGTTCTACACCGGTATACACAAGTTTTTCTTTTAACCAGAAATAGGTGTATTGTAGTTACTACTTAGAATTGAATCAGAACAGTTTGTGAATGTCTGGTGAAACTGCATTACACACCACACTCTAACCTAGTTAAGGGAAGGGAGACAACTATCTGACCTAGTTACAAAAAAGGGAGACAGCCATCCCCAATGGCTAACCTGAAAGCAACATCTGAATCCATTGTTCAATATTTTGCAAGGTGTAGACACACAGATAACAACTTAATTGATATTGTACAATCTATATCATGCTAATTAAATCTGATGTCATTACAAATCTATTACTGGGTGAATGTGAGAGTAAGTAAAGCTGTTATTACTTACACTTAGAATGCTCAGTTTGAATGAAAAACCTTACAACAAATAAAACAATCAAAGTTGTGTGTTTATCTCTTACTGTCAAACACAAAATCACATCTGTACATTGGGAAGGAATCTCCTGTAACAGCACTGTTTTCTCAGAAATATATCATTCTAAACATAGAATAGTTGTTTCTTTGCAAATCAGAAGCAACAAAAAAAGGATGAAAATAAATATTACAATAAAAAGCACCCTGGAAAGTATTTTCCATATGATGATATGTGCGTTTCTATTTTGTGACTTCAATGTTCAATGAAAATTATGAACTATGCACATGTATTATAATTTGAAATATATCTATTTCAACCTCAGGACAACAAAACTTGCCCAGAAAATTGAGAAGAAAAAAAAGGAAAAATTATGAAAAAAAATTTGGCTTAGAATGTGCATTGATGTTGTTAGCACATTAACATCAGTAATCACTCAATCTGGCTGAGATTACATTGTATTGCTTGGACACAGAACTTTTCACTGGGAAGAAAAAATGTAAATAAAGCATGATTCTAATTATAAATCTTTGACTGAGAAATTGACATACATCTGAAATGTTTACACTCAAATCTTCTATAAAAATGCATTCAGCAAGTGGAAATTCATGCTTCATTTAAACAGTGGCAGTTTGCAAGAGACAAAAGAAATATTGATGTAAATGAAATGAAAGTTTATGGCAGGTTCACGAGTCTGACTCCAGACGTCTAAATTCATTTCCTAAATGCCTGGTAGGTTTAACCATTTTTTGGCGAGCCTGAAGTCGCCCATCTTCTTTGTGATCAAATTCACAGTTATGGAGCTCAGGCAGTCTGTGTAATGAACAGAAGATCAATTCTGGAAGGGAAAAAAAATATAATCTGAATTTTTTATGTCATGTCAAGCTGCATTTATTTTTATGTTCACTACACAGAAATAATCAATCCATGCATGTAAAGACAAATTCCAAATACACACAGTATATAAATCAGGCAGAGCTGTGCATATACAAGCAGAAATCAAATAATGTATCTCACACTACACAGTAACAGAGTAAAATCCAAAAGGTATCGGAAACAGTGGCATTATACATTATACATCCTACACCTTTAAAATATTCTGATCTTAAACCAATTTAGGAGCTTATTCATAAAAGAAATCACCAATTACAGTACAATATACAATATTTACATCCAACACACTTTTTATAATCATACATAGGGTTTTGCACTGTAGTGCTCAAACAGATTTAACAAAAAAAAAAAAAGATCATTAAGAATTGAACTGAAAAGAGGCTTCAGTAATAGTCACTTCTGGGCCAGATAGATATGAAAATATGTTTTATTATAATGGTTCTATCTCTTTATATGATCTTGTGTGCCACACATCAGTAGTTACATGGATACACAACGGCTCTTTACTGTGTGATGAATAAGTTTAATATTAGTATTACCACATCGACATCTTCCAATCTGTCGTTGAGCTAACTCCAGCTTTGCATTACACTGGAAGCAGCGCTTTCTATTTTTTTGTTTTCCTTTCTCTGGGGTAGATTCTGGAGTGGAATCTGGTTCTAAAGGTCTGGAATGATACAAGTATTTCTATATCATATTTCCAATTCATTATGACAAATAACTTAGTTATATGAGAAAAATTTATTACTTTATATTGTCAATTCATTTTAAGTGTTAATTTAGTTATACAACTAAGTAATATTTGATATATCTATGTACACCAATACTTTAATATTGACTCTCACCAATACTTTAACATCGACTCTATCAATACAGGCAAAATTTTTTTGTGGGACCATCATCATTACCTTTTTATACCCCTGGTTTCATCCTCTGTATTTGACCCGACAGCCGACGGTCCTTGTGCCGTGTCTGTATTACTACACTTTCCATTCTGGTTTGTATTGTTCTCCTCACTACTGGCAGAGTTAAAGTTTTTATTGGTGGTAAGACATGTTGTCTGTAATTCACTGCTAGTGTCTATACAAACATTTTCTGTCACAGGTATATGTTTCAGATGTTCCTGTAATTTTTCTGAGAGATTCTCAGCGGCTTGCACTGAATTATCTTTGGATGAGCTAGGTTGTGGAGTGTTGTTGCTGCTCTCCAGGTCATGTGATCGTGACATTAGCTGTCGCCCAGAATCTACAAGACAACAGATAACACTTGACATGGGATCATCATTATAAGTGAGATTATTTCTGTAACATCTATACTATATACAGTGTTAGACCTCACATTTCAAACAACCAATCAGTAACCAAAACATTCATCAGAATTACGTAGGTTTCATATATTTTATCCAAAATACACTGGACATTAAAATGATTGTACACCAGGTAGGTGAGAAATTTTATGTTGAGGTTTCTTTAATTTTCCGACTACATATTTGTCTGGAGTTAAGTACAACAATCATCTTCAGCATCAAACAAATTTGTAATATAGTATGAATTCAAAGCCAAACACACAATTTGTATATATGACCTTGGAATTTTCAAATAAATATTGAACAAAAGCTGATTATTAACCTTGCTTCCTGATCATATGGTCGGGTGTACTTTTCAATGCATCTTGGGTTTTTTCTTGGTGTGCTGTAACAAAGGGAATAAAATAGTGAGTGTAGTTAGAAATATGGAACAGACAACAATGTAAATGATAAAACCAGCAAGCGGTTTTTTTTCAATTCTTTAAAATTGTTTACATTACTCAGTTCATATGACCTAATATGTATAAATCATGTTCATGATAAATGTGTGTGCATACACTGTATAATACTATTATGTATTATACTATATGCAAATATACATAACAAATATACAACATGTACATTGAGGCAATCACAATCAAGACCCATAAATTTAGATATATTAGAAAAAAATTAAATTAATGACTAATCACATATCTGGTATATACATGGCTCATATCAAATATAATTTACAAGTGACACACTTTTATAAGTCGTTAATTTTACATCATTACGTATTGTGTCAGGTTTATGTAAATGATAATCATATACTACAATTTATTGACTAAAATGAAATATTCTTTATATTAAGAGGTTCACTGTTGGACCTAGTAACAACTGACACTACAATTACTCACCTTTGTAGCATGTAGAGCAAAGTCCCAGTGTACTGGGGGATCTGCAAAGTTAAAACAAATGGATATTATTTGTCACCATCTATATGTATATACTAACAAACTAATGCCATAATATATACTGTACATATGAAATTAAATCTTGGCCTAATTAAAATTAGACATCTACATCATGAAATTTATGTAAATATTGCGGAATATTGTTGACGAGTGGAAATTTCAAGTCTAATTCTGATTAGGTGGTTATCATTGATGTCTCGGACACAAAATGTGAATACTTATAAAGTATAATGGTAGGACTGGTATACATATCACAAACAGCTTTATATATTGTAGGTATTACTGCTTTAACCTGAAGCTTGCATTGGTTTTTTTAATCAGTATTTAAACTCCCATACACAGGTTAACAAGGAACTTCTGGGTGTTCTTTGCTAGCCCCGATTTATAATTAGCTGCCACTAGGCCTAGGGACCCTTTGTTTACTGATCATACAGCTAAAATGTAATGGATGTCAGCTTGTCTCTGCTACAGGTCTCTCAAGGACATTTATGGGAGACTAGCAAATCTGCAGTGTATGGTTTACACATTTTAATGAAAATTTCATGAAAAGAAAAATTACAGTCCCATGATGTTTGTTAATTAGTTAGAGTTTCATACATTACACTGTTATTTTGCTAATATTATTTAAATGCAGTAGTGACAGCATCTAATTAGCTGGTCAGATAATACCATATAAGGCTACACTAATTAAAGGGTATGCTATAAAGGGGTGCATTAATGTCGAGAAAGCTCTAATGACAAATGAGTTTCTCTCAAGGCAGAAAGCTTGGGAGGTTTAAGCCTGCCATATATACACATAATGCAAAACGCTCTTCACATTTTTGTTGTTAATGAAAGATGTAACAAAAATTTCAATGTTTATCAGTTTTCATGTGTCTATTTGGACTAAAAAGAATGATCTTTGTATAAATTTACCCTATTTTTAACCTATATTATGATAGAAACTGTAATAACATTTATGGCATGTTATAAAATTATAATTCAACTAAGAAAAAATTTAGACTTTTTTCAGTTTCAATGACTTTTATTTCAAGAAATTCAGGTATTTTATTGCAAAAGCCAGATATTTCTCAATTAAAAACATTTTATAGCAATCAATTATTGTACTGACCAGCAGCCAAAGTAAAATGGTGGGTAGCAAATACAATTAAAAATGATCCAGGAGTAGTGTCAACACGATTACGGTAAACCTTTAGTCAGTTAAAACTAAATTAATTATATATTGTTGGTCCTATTGGAATTATACAAATTTATGCTTCTAAAAATTAATTCGAACTATCAGGTTTAACATTGCCCAAAATCACAACAAAGTTTCTAAAAGCGTCAGAGCAAGGCAGGAAACTAAGGTCAGAAATGGCATTTTTTACATGGTATTTCAAAAATAAGATTAGTGGTTTTTCTCACTAATTATTGGAAACAGCTTTCAGATCACGCTGGAAAAAGTGAGGAACCTACACAACTTAGGTGTTAATACATATATTAATCAGATTAAAGGATGACTGCATGCTGTACTGTACTCTATATATATATACACTTAGGGAAATAATGATCCCAGACTTAAGCATTCAATTTCTTTTCAGTTCAAATGTTTTCATTTCTATATATGTATTACCCAAAAATATAATTTGAAATGATTTCCAGTACAGGAGCTTGTTACTATGTCAGTACAGACAAATCTCAAGAATGAAGTCCTCGTGTTATATTTTACTGGGTCAATTAATTCACAGTGATCGTATATGTATTCTGTATCAGTGAACGAACCTTCGTTAATTATTACTATAGCGATGAGCAGTATTCAAACATAACTTTGACGCACCTTACTTAGAATGTCTGTCTGTTGGTCAATTACATGAAACTATACTGGGAGGGTGAGCGTGCACATGAATAGTGTCCCATATAAACCGTAAGTCGACATAGGAAGTCTACACCGAGTCCGTGGAATCTAATGTTTATGGGAATTTTAATCTTTCTCGTGGTTTAGTAATAAGCCAAAACGTACATTACCAATACAGGAGAAATAAGTGCGAACACAGACGAAACATCCGGAAGAGCACCAATAATTCTAACAAAGACTAACCTAAGAAATTCGACTAAATACGAAATGAAAACATGAGCTGTGCGGACAAGTCATGAATGACGAGATTAGGTTTCCACCCCATTGTCAAATTTTCTTTCGGATATACTTCTGCAAGATATGCTTACCCCCAAAAGCCACACGGACAGCGAGATGGTTCACTGCTCTTTGATTCCTCCATTATTTTGGGATCAGAAGAGGTGAAATTAAGATTTTATACGGGTATCGCCGTGGCGACTGGGTGACAATCGCCAGCTGGTTTTTATTTTGTGCCACTTCGAGGCTGACAGATAACTTCCGGGTCAAAGGGCATTATGAGAAAGAGTTATCTTTCCTGCAATGGTTTATAACATCAAGAACCTCGCCAGGGTATTATTGAAAGACAATAAAAAATTAATTTTCATATTTCTTTGTATAATGCACGAATTGTTTACAAACCGATAAAAACCCGAGAATAACATCCACTAGTCCATGTGACAATGCATTTTAAGGCCTCATATAAATATTAGAAAGAATTTAAACTTTATGAGAGCGAAGTTGTGTAAAAGAACATGGACAGAAATGTAAGTTTGAACATGGTCACGGTGGGATCCAATCTCTATTTACAAATTTTTGGTCATACTGTTAGGTATGGTACTCGGCTTTTCATTATTTCGATTTGTTTATTTCTATGAAACTAAGTGAATGGCGGAATGTTACATAACGACAACCAAAGCTAAAACCCTATACTAGGAAAAAATGTCTGACAAGAAACTTACTCAAGCTGAGAAGAAAATCAATACATGTAACCAAACAGGATATATTTCTGATGTTTTGATATGTCATGTGATGAGTCTTAATTTACAGATCAATAAAAGTGTAATTGATACTTAAATGGTGTCTGATCTTCAACTAGTAGTTGAGAAAGATGAGCAGAGAAGCCTCTTTCGTTATTGAAAGTTTAAGAAAATGACAGGTTTTGATCTTTGATGATTTTAAAATCTGGTAAAAAAGCCTTTTACATCTGTTTAGCAAACTTTTTAAAAAACAAAATAATTGGGCTACTTTCTTAACTTTTTTATGTTTTAAAGTCTCCTCGAGTTTTACCGTTGAAAAAAAATTTTAGAAATGAGTAACTTCAAACTCATCAGTAGCTGTAGATTATTGTTTTTGGATAAAGGATAATAGCTTTTAGGAACATTTCCGAGTGTCATTCTGTTTTATTGAGAATTTGAAGACATAAGATGGACAACTATCAGCATGTTCGGCCGAATCTACCCACCAGTCCTAAGTTGTTGTCTGCGTATCATCATTACCAGCTGCTTAGGAAGTTACACTTCATCGGTGTAAAGAAGTAGTCCCATTTAATCGCTGTCGTAAGACCTCTCGGATATACCATCCTTGTTTTACAAAGTGTTTTTTACCTCTGTGCAGTCTGTGATTTTGCGATTTTAAAAAATGTACGATTGTTTTCTAATTAGGCAGATTGTTTCGAAATAAGGATCAAAGTTCTTACATGTTAAATTCTGATTCACGGGCACGGACAATTTTACTAATACAATCAAATTAGTTAAAAAATGGCAAGCCAACTGAACATTTATTCCACGCGCAATGTCGATATTGTGTTTCACCAAATTTCATAAAATATCTCATATATTAGATATTTTATATATCGTCTATAACTAAAATAAAATATGTACCGACACATTTCCTTGAAGAAAAATTAGTTTGCTTACCATATGAAAACACTATTTCTTTAGCATGGCCCTGGAACACTCACGAAGAACGAATCATGTAGTTAATTTAAATCTAAACACTTATGACTTGTTTCGGTGCTGACTTTGTTATATTCTAAATGATCTCATATGAGATTCATAATGTTAAAAACCTTATAAACAGACCAGGGTGTGTCCATATATGTATTCAACTAAGCATTTAGCACAACCTGGGGACAGGTAAATATTCGAGACTTCCTTGTAGAATTAACGGATTTGATTTCGATTCTTAATTTGTCAAACTAGATGCTTGACCAAGCTAGATAATACCATTATACACCTGTTAGGTGATATACTCTACAACACAAGCATGCTCTAATCTCATGTGATATACACTCTGATCCAAACATTATCATTTTACAAACGATTTTTTTTCAAAATGCTTCATTTAAAAATTTCCGATGTGGTTCTCTTAAGGTTATTTATATGGTATTGGAGGTGATAACATAATGGTGGTTATAACACGTCATTGGTGGTAAAACACGTCATTGGTGGCAAAACTCGTCATTGGTGGTAAAACACATTATTGGTGATGAAAACACGTTATTGGTAGGGATAACATGTTATCGGTGATGATAACACGTTATTGGGGGGGGGTAAAATGTTATTGACGGTGATAATACGTAAGTGGTGGTGATAACACGTTATTGGTAGGGATAACACGTTGCCGGCGGTGATAACATGTTATCGGTGATGATAACACGTTTTGGGTTGCGATAACATTATATATGTGGTAAAATACGTTATTGATGTTTGTTCATTTTTAATCCTACTGTTTTCGAATTACATTAACTGTTGTAGAATACAAAACCATGAAAAGGCAGAAAGTGGGGCAGTATACATCATACATAACCCGTGTAGATGGTGAGTTTGAAATGTACGGGTTTTTGTCAGTCATATCAAAGAAAGGACATTCGGATATGTTCCATTGAAATATAACTAATCTAAATTATTCGAGGATGTTTCCCGTTTTTTCTGTTAGTTTGATAACACTAAAATGTCATCAGATTGGAAAATAGATATCATCATTCTCAAAATGAAAAAAATAAATGCTTTGATTTTGATTTTTTCAGTGTTTTAGGTGTAACAAAACTTACACATACACAAATTTGTTCAAGGCTGGATTTGATTGAATTGTCTTGACATATCATGGACGCACAATTGACCTGTTGGTAAGGCGTAAGGACTGTAGAGTCGGTAAGGCGTAGGGATTGTAGAGTCGGTAAGGCGTAAGGACTGTAGAGTCGGTAAGGCGTAGGGATTGTAGAGTCGGTAAGGCGTAGGGACTGTATAGTCGGCAAGGCGTATGGATTGTATAGTCGGTAAGGAGTAGGGACTGTAGAGTCGGTAAGGCGTAGGGACTGTAGAGTCGGTAAGGCGTAGGGATTGTATAGTCGGTAAGACGTATGGATTGTATGGTCGGTAAGGCGTAGGGACTGTATAGTCGGTAAGACGTATGGATTGTATAGTCGGTAAGGCGTAGGAATTTGTATAGTCCGTAAGACGTATGGACTGTATAGTCGGTAAGGCATAGGGATTGTATAGTCGGTAAGGCGTATGGATTGTATAGTCGGTAAGGCATAGGGACTGTATAGTCGGTAAGGCGTAGGGATTGTATAGTCGGTAAGGCGTATGGATTGTATAGTCGGTAAGGCATAGGGACTGTATAGTCGGTAAGGCGTAGGGATTGTATAGTCGGTAAGACGTATGGATTGTATAGGTAAGGCATAGGGACTGTAGAGTCGGTAAGGCGTATGGATTGTATAGTCGGTAAGGCGTAGGGATTGTATAGGTAAGGCGTAGGGACTGTATAGTCGGTAAGGCGTATGGACTGTAGAGTCGGTAAGCCGGATGGATTGTATAGTCGGTAAGGCGTAGGGGTTGTATAGTCGGTAAGGCGTAGGGACTGTATAATCTGCTCCTATTGTATGATTGTAATTTTGGATATAATATTTTCTTCCTTAACAATATTTTCTCCCTAATGTCTCCCTTGACACTGCCCAACTTTTGCCTGTTATCGTCTCGTGAATAGTCGCGGTCGATTTGAGGCGGGGTCTCCTTGTGTAGTAGCAGGCGGATCCATCAATGGGCTATATACGAGAAGTTAAGATTAGGTGCCTTTTCGATAAACCGCCAGAGGTATGTCTTCATCTGAAATTACGTAGGTCAACGCTCTAAAGGCACTGGGTGTATAAATGTTCAGCAGTGCTTTGTCGGCAGTATACTTTAATTGGGTAGTATTCAGGGGCGTAGACAGCCTAGCAGAGATATGTAAGCCCAGGCAAGGGGTCTGAATTTCATGATTTCAAAGATGTTTTCTGAGACAGTTTTTTTTACTTATTTAACAACAAACTTCGACCCCTGATATTTATTTTCAACCTTAGTTTTGCAGTTTTGTCCGACATACTCTATGCACGGATTTTTTATGTGTAAGCCCGGGCTTTTTCTTTCTATGGAAGCTACGCCCCTGGTATTATAAAGTCAACCCCAGGTCCACACGGTCTCATACTGTATCACAGCCTCTAACAAAATGAACTCTCATAGAGGTAGCCTGGTCACGGCCTTCCCATGATGCTCCGCATTATTGATTTATTCACTTGTTTATCTATTTATTATTATTTTTATTCAGATAAGTTCTAAACCCGTCTGAATAATTAATTACCCAGTGCATATTGAACAATGACAATTGTTACGTTGGAGAACACCAAGGGTATGTACACTTGATAATTATTTCATTTCCTGATTGCTGTGTTGCTGGTTGATTTCTCTAGAAAAAGCGTATTCCGCGAGACTGTTCTGTATATTAATTAACATAATATTCAGACTGAGTAACTTTTAATTAATTGTCTCTGTAATTCATCGTTCTGAATTAACAATACTGTATGTGATTATGGCGTCATATAATCGGAACATTCTTGTGTATCGCAATGTATATGAAATAGATGGTCTTACATCGCAACCTGTCAGAAAATTACGTCTATGGCATTTTGATGACTACGTTGTCAGCTTCATTAGAAAAAATTACCATTGTGAAGCTTATTTGCACTGAGGTATACGTATTACGAAATGACATTAAAATTCGCTGACTGCTTGTGATATGAGAACATCTTTTCATATGTAAAGTATTGATTTTGTAAAAAGAGGTGGTAAAAAATTTGTTTCACCAGCCCGGGCAAATTCCAATCCGAAATCTAGGTGCCTGTTTATCAGCTCTCGTCTGTGTCTCTTTAGTATATGTCTTAATATATTAAATTGATGATCTAATTAATACCAATATAAAGCCCTCCAATTCCACTGACATGTATATCAATTATATATCGTATTTATACAACAAGAAATCATTAGACCATGTCTATTATATATACCCCCAGAATTGGAAATCAAGGACAAACACTTCTACATCAGCGACTTACCTCTATTTCTACCTACGGCGTCTTCAACGAGAACTGTGCATTAAGTTCTATGACAAGCGTAATGATATTTGCTTG